AATTCGCCTTGACTAATCATCTTAAAATTTACCCGAAAAATGGCTAACTTGCACAGAACTGACGACTCTGAGCTGGCAAGCTGTGAGCCGTTGGCTGTTTTGGCAAAGCGAGTGTCGGTAGCAATGAGCAGCTAAATTTGGTATTTGCTGCCTAACTTACGATACGGCCATCGCAATGTAAATGGAAACCTCAAAAGCTCACTGAACTTGGCAACTCAGAGAGCCGCAGAGCCGCAAACTGTGCCATATACCAACGACAATTTATGTGGCAACTGCTACTGTAATTGTTGTTGTTGCTGTTGCTGTTGCCAGTTGGCAGTCGCCTGGAGGCACGCATTTATTATTTTTCTTAATTAAATCTTCAGCTCGCGTTATTCTGGATGGCCTTCATATGGATTTATATAGATTTATACAGCCTCTGGATGCATGCAATGCAATGCAATTGCAAACGACATGCAGTTGAGGCAGTGCTGCTGCCCCTGAGAGCTGCTACAACATTGAAACCCATTTCAGTTGAGCCGGGCAGCGTCAACGCGAACGCCACTAATTAAGCCTAATGGCGCATGAAACATGCATTAAAACTAATGTGCAATCCCTGCAATCCTTCCCATTCTATAACCTCTCTCCTAAGCCTAGCGAAACATCCGTTCCTTCAATTCAACTGGGAGCCAAGCCGAGCCGAGACGAGCCGAGCCGAGTCGAGTCGCTGTTAATGGTATCTGCCTAATTTTATGGCCAGTATACAAACATATATATATACCTATATATATATTTATATATAGGTATATATATATATACCTATATATATAGGTATATATAGATATGAATATATATTTGCGCAACAACATTTGCGTTTTATTGCGTGCTATGCCATGGATGTTACAGGCTATATATATATATATACTTTTTATACATATTTCTATCCAACCATAATTAAAGCATTTGTGCTTAGCACAATAATTTCAAAAAGCATGGTACGCATGCACTGCAAGAAATATTATTAGCAATTCATATGAATAGTTAATTATGAAATTTTATAACCAGCCAATAAAATTATTTGCTTGAATAAAGGGCTGCTTGAAGTTGAAATCGTAATTTTGAGATGAGTTATCAAAAAAAAAAAACAGATAAACTTGCACACCGTGATTGAAACCTCTTCGATTCAATTGAGACCCTATAAAAACGGAAATTCGTCAAGGAATTTTAATGCTAAAAATTTATTCAATTCACGTTTAAGCGAACCCGAGTATTTGATTATTGTATAATTGTGAATTGAACTTAATTGGAATAAAAAAGCTTTACACAGGCTCCTAAGTTGTGCGCTGGTTCAAGTCATTTTCTATTGAATTAGCCATCGATTGATTAATTTCGCTTTGGCCTAGCCACAAGCAAGTGTGCAGCACATAGATCATTATGGCTTGTAACACACTCGTCTGGACACAGCAGCAGTAGCCACAGCAATGGCAACAACTACAACGTGACTTGAGTTCAGTTAAGGCTGATTGCCAGCCCCGCAGGATGCTTGAGCCAAGTCAGAAACTGACAAGGAGCAGTTAGAGGTGGAGCAGCAGCAGCAGCTAGGCGCCCACTAATGAAACATTATGGCTGTCGTAACCCGGCCACGCCGCACAAATCCACTAAAAACGTTTACGGCTTACGTGCAACATGGTTGACTGCCTGGCTGCCTGCACCACTAAGCTTGGCAGCGACATAAGTGGCACGTAGCTGAGACTTGGCCTGTGGCAGAGGCATTGGCAGCGGCATCTGCCACAAAAGTGTCCTGGCAAATTGCTGGCTGCAACACGTTCTGTGGCCGAGTAGCTGCAATTGATTTTTGCACTTGACGGTTGAACAAATACGCGAATTTTTGACTGTTCTACACACTGATACATATATATATAAATATATATACATATATGTATGCATATTTCAATGTGTTAGTTAAAAACAATTCACAATTCATATGCTTTGTCGCTTCATTGAAGCAATAAATTTAAATTTATACAAAATGCCATGAAACGATATGAAAACATTTGACAATGATATATATGCGTATGCGTGGCGCTCGAGAGCCTTCGTCTGCCAAGCGGAAGCAGCTTACGCACGGTTGCATTACAACCGGAAGTCAGTCAGAGGGTGAGCGATTGCGAGAGATAAAGGGCGGTAGGGCGAACGAGCACGAGAGGCGCACACAACTCGAACGAATGTCAACATGTTGATAACAAAATACAAGCGCACACTTTGCACAAAATGTTTTGTTTAGTATACACAATGCTGCAAAAGTTATAGAGTAACTCTTATATATATATATATATATATGTAGATATATACATACATGAATACATATAAAAGTTCAGCCTGAATTGCTGGCGTTTGAATGCTCTTCAAATTTGTTGAAGCGTTTGTGAGTCGAAACTCGAAATTAAGTTAATAAATTTGTATATAAAAATATTTAAAAATATTGCTTATCAAATGAAAATATGTTAAATAAAAATAATAATTTATTAATATTTCATTGAGGAATTTCAAAAATTAACATAATCCTAAAGTAATTATTAAGTTCAGTAAAAAAGTATGTTTACACATATTAAAAGCTAATGAAAAATAAAACCTTTATTTTTCCAAAAAGACAATAGCTATATAAGCATTTTCTTAAGTGAAAAAGAAGTATAATTTAAGGAAAATTAGCTTTAGACGACAGCTATTGATATATATGATATACTTTATATGTATTTAAAACATGTCATTGAAGTGAACGGAACACAAATACCTATTGTAGAGCACGTTGGCATGGCTTGGCTTTTGTTATATATAGTCAACAGGCGAGTCCTGGCTTCAACAAATATGCAGTGCATTTCATTTAATTCAACTCGTGTTTTGTCTTCTGCCCGCTGCTGTGCAACTTTTGAATGTGGCGTTGCCTTAAAAAATGATAATCATTTTTATGAAAACAATAAAAGCGTCGAGGCGCTTGGCTGACCTGCCACAAAAACACAAAACGAAAAACTTGTGGAACAATTTGGCTACGCAAAAATTAATGAAATTTATGTTCTTGTTGCTTGTTGTTATATCAAACAGTTTCCATTGTTTTGCGGGGGCGTTACGTAATGAAAAACTGTTTTTTTTTTTTAATTTATAGCCGCGCAGGAAGGTTTATGTTATGAAAGTCAGAAAGTAAATGCCACGCTTGCCCAACAGCAGCGAATAAAGGCAAAACTTTTGCATTGTCATATTGTTGTGCTCAGAAACGTGCACAGTGAATCCTGCTTAACATGACTCGAAGCAAACAACAATAGTAGCAGAGAGAGGGAGAGATGGATGACTATGAAAATCCCTAGACATAAAGCATCCTTTGTATAGATTATGGCACATTGGTTAACAAAGCGAACCAAGTGGAGTCGAGCCCCAAATACTTTGAAATGTCATCTGCTAAGCAAACTATTGTCCTCATTGCACTTAAGCCAACCGTAAAAGGTTAGCTTCATATGCAATTAATTGTATGCATTAGATGAGTTGATAACTTGACAAAGTGAAGCTCTTACGGGAAAGAGAGCAATACGAATCGTGCGAATGAATACAATATACGACATGTTGAAGCACTTAACTATGTCTTGCATATATGTAATTTGAGTATATTATATACCAACATTATTTTAAATATATTTAAACTTGTTTTCCATCCTATTAAGCTTTAGTGTTTAAACTGTCTATTATCCTATATTTCCATAAACTAGACTTTAGATTACTTTAGTGGTCCTAAGTACTTCTTAATCACTTGAACTCAACTTGAATAATTGTAATTGTTATGCATACCTTTCCTGGCCATATTTTTCTCTACCTCCTACTCTTACTCTATTTTCTCTGATTCCCTCTTTTCTTATACTCCATTGTTTTTTCACACTCTCTGCACATTTACTTTACATAAACTGCTGCTTAGGCGGCAGGGCAAAAACTTTTCATAACTTAAATTGCAACTGGAATGCTATTAACTAGTGCAAGCACGCACACACACACACGCACTCGCACACATATGAACTTGATCAACTAATTTGCATATAACAAACGCGCCAGCTTTGCCCCGCCCCTCCACGTGTCGAATTGCATGCCAAATGCGCTTAGTTTTTAAGGCTAACAGCATGCAGGCCACAACAACAACAAAAAACAGCAACCACCAAAACATGAAGAACAAGAGCGTGTGACAAACTCGTAATTAGAAAACAACATTGCCTACTCTTAGGCGCTGTCCTTTGCTTATGTAAATGTGAGGCGCTACACAGCTGAAAAAATAGAGCTTAATTAAAAAACTATTTTGTAAGCCCCTGAGCTAATCAACGTCTGGTAAATAGAGGATGAGGATTATGCAAATCTAACGGAATTAGTAATTCAAAAATATAAAATAGAAGTAATTAAGGAGGGAAGGAATTTATTTTATATAAATATAAAGAGAGTTGATAGTGAAAAAGTGTTTTGTTATCAAAATTAAAATATTTGCATATTTGTTAGTCAACAGTTAGAAATTGATAAATAGTTAACATTAACCAAGTTAAGCTAATGTTCTATTTGACTGGCGCCTCACATTAAAGAACTGTTTCCTTATCGCTGAGCTAGTCGAGATTTAATAAGGACTTTCAGGATGCTTTTTCAACTTGCATTTCAATATAGCATTTTAGGGCATTAAATGTAAGAAAAGGTTTTTACTGTGTAGACAACTTAACCTACATACACTAGCAAATGACACACACTCATACACACACTAAGATATGAAACATGTTATATAAGCACTAACATATGCTCTGCCACAATAACAACAGTAATATCAGCTGCTGCAAATGTGTGGCACATACACACACATACACAACATGTCAACACACACCCGCACACACGAAAATTGGCACTAAGAACACGCTGGAAATGCAACAAGAACAACACTTGGAGAATTGTGCTCATGTTTGACTTTGATGCAGTGTTTAAAATGTGTTTTCCATTCTCTTTCAATTTAGCGCTCGACCTAAAAGTATGCAGCATCATTAGTGTCAAGCTTTTGGTCAGACTTTCAGCCAGAGTGAAGCTGCGAGAGAAAGTCCAAATCTGGGCTGCCGTCTCATTAGGACAACAGCAAAAGCGCATTACGAGGGTCAAACGACAAGTTCCTAAGTCAACCTAGACAACCAGACAAAGCATTCATAATTACGCTCAGCAACAACATCAACGAGAATACAGTTGCTGCGCCTAGCAAAGAGTCAAGGCCACGCTCCACGCCATACGCCTCACACCCCGCCCCCAAGCGCGGTTCGTAGTAAAGCATGAGCATAGCTTGGGCAGCAAACAGAAGTAATTTGTGCCACTCAAAGCTCTGCAGGATGCCGGCGAGCTGATGCGCTCCAGAAAACCAGCAACAGCAGAAGAAGACGAAGACGAAGTCCTTTCAAGGAAGAGAGGAGACAAATTAAGAGCACTTGCAAATTGTTGTCGGGAAATTGATATATTCGATTAGCAATCTACAAAGTTGAGCGAGGACAAAGACGAAGAAGCGCAGACACGCAGCAAGAGATAACGGGGGCATTTTCAATTTATCAGTGCACAGGACACGCCCACGGACACGCCCAAACGCCCAAACGCCCACACGCCCATCAGCAGCTGCGTTGGCATTGTGTGAAAACAAGTAGAAGAACATTTACATCCTGTGCTCCACGCATTAGCCGCTTTAAGCCGAGTCATGCCTGAGCAGGATAATTACGATGATGAGGTAATTTTCATTGTTCAACCAGCAACAATCAACCCCCACACACACGCACACACACACCCGCCGACAAATAAATATGTTTTATGCATAAATATCATTAGGCATAATTAATTTTAAAACAAATATTTAAACACGTGTGCATATGGCTCTCCCTACTCAGACGTTGGCTTTTATGCGGTGTTTTGGACACACACTCAGAGAAATAAACGAGTATTTTAAGGGTTTTTGCAAAAGCAATTATTTGTAAGTTTTTATAAAACTTTATTAGCGATATTAAATGCAATTTGACATAACAAATATTTATGCACAATTATGTAACTAATTTTTCTCTGAGTGTAAAGCGCAATGTGCTTGCCGTATATAATGTGTTTAAAGACCTTCAAGCAAAAAGCCCCGTGAGCAAATATCTTTTTGTGGAATATGTTCTTAAAGCTACAGCTTCCTTGCTGAAAAGATTCTTATACAATTTGTTTATTGAAGTTTCTTTTTCCTTTTCAGCGCTGACTTTGCTTTAGACTAATAAATTGATATTAGTTTTAGATATAACAGCGACTATTTCTTCATCTCTCATAGAAAGTAAAGTAGGATGATTCAAAAATAAATTTGGAATCTGTGATTATTGAACCAGAACATATTAAGGTTTTCTTTGCGGATAAACGTTCAGTATTGTATAATTTAATTTCAATAAGTTCCAGAAAAAGTTAGTAAGCATAAAGTTTTTTCTTTGAGCTCTGACAGTGCACTAAATTCTCTAAATTAAAAACCAGTTTACAAACTGAACAAGTTCTCTTTGCTCTGCCAGAGCAGCACTTCAATATTCAGATTTTAACTTGACTAAGTGCAACACTTGGCCAAAAAAAAAGTTGATTCAACAACTGGCAGGGAACACCAACTTGAGCATCATCTTGCTTTTTAATGCAGATGCTGATGGCTAGGTCAACTTCAGCAGGCACTCTCACGCATCGCTGCACACTTAGCGGCATTCCGAAGGAGGGTGAGCAAATAGGGGCCAGGTCAGAGGCCAGAGGCCAGAGGCAAGCCACTGTGCAGCCGGCAGCCATGATAATTGAAATAAATTCCGCATGTAATTCAAATGCAAAGCGCTGACAGGACGCTGACAACAAATGCAAAATTGAATTATCAAAGCGTTGCGTGTGTGCCATTTGCATACAAAAACAAAGGAGGCAGCAGCAGGAAGGGGCCGACAGCGGTGCTGAGAGTTGAATTGAACAAGTACAAAAAGATAAATAGCCCGTCGAAATGACAATCAAACATATTCAGGCGGAAAGCAATTAGCTGCGAGTAGAATTCAAGTCGTGCATTCCCGTTCAATTTCACGAATTAGTTCAATCATTTAAACAAAATCAATTTGGTGAATACCGTTCAATATGGAGTCACTGCATTCACTAGTTCAGTCATGAACGATTCGTTTGAATAACTTATTCCGTTGTATAGCCACATACTGTTTTTGAACAGCAGAAGACCTTCTCATAGTGAACCATTCATGAACGATTGAGCAAAGCAAATTGCTCATAACCAATTGAACAAATCAGCACAGGCTATCCTTTATAACTGACTGAACTATATGGCATGCACTGATAACTGAACAAGTTCATAGCTCATTTCAATAGCTCGCTCAATCGACACAAATTCCAGGCCACTCTAATTGCATAGTGAAAAGTGTTGCCTACCCCCAGGCGCATTCTATTCAATTGGAACAGTGTTGCCATAATCGATTGTCTTCGTTAATTATTCCGGGCTAATGACTCCGAACAATTACCACCCCGGCGAATTACAGTTTAATTCAAAGGCCTGCAGGCATCTGATTAAGAGTTTTGTATATAATTAGCAGATATTGCACGGCTGAACAGTTTGTAATTAGTTTTGAATTCATTGAAAAGTTTAAGGAACTTATTTTGTTTTATATAGATAATATTGCCTGCATATTCATTCATTTTTAATAACTGAAATCCATAAGGAAAAACTTGATATTGAAAGCGTTTTAGACACGTTTTCTACTCAGCTCGAAATGTTTAAGCTCTGTAGTCAATCAATCCAAGTAAACCAAATATTCTCAAAAGCTGTAGTAGACTGTCGTTTATTATAAATACTGTTATATCTGACACCTTCACTGTCAAACGCCACGTTTTATTTGAACTATCAGTGTTGGCATATTAAATATGTGTTTTATACTCTTTTCAAGACAAATTCGTGTTACTTAACGACATTTGACAGACGCGACACCTGCTGGAAGAGAGCGAGAGAAAAAAGCAATCATGGCCATGTAATGGACGCTTGAGTATGTGTTGACATGGACGCAAATACAGAGAGCTAGATACACACAGAGGTGTGCAGATACGCACACAGACACACACACAGGGACAGATTAAAGATGCGCGTGGCAGTTATAGCGAATGCTATGCCTTTATGGCCTTGAGCTAAACTGTTGTTGACAACGGCAGCCGTTGAAGGCGGTGCGGTGTGGAGCGGGACGCAGACAATGGTACTAGCGCACCGGAAAGCTAGACACAGACGACAACGTTGGCAGAGTTGCCTAATGCGACCACCTTCCCTCCGTGGTTCGCATCATCCTTTCCAATTGCAACACTAGGATGCTAGGATGTGTCTGCGTATCCTTTGCAATCGTGCCCTGTGGGTCTGTTTATGGATTTCGTGTTTGTCAGGAAGGCAGCAAGCCATAAAGATTGGCTTGTAATGTCGCTCAGTTGCAAAATGCAATATTGTTGGAAGCTTTCAGCATTTACAGGAGCTGCCATCTCTTAGGACGTGTAAGGTACGCCGAAAAAATTAAATGAAAAATATTGAAGGACAACAGATTCGATATTTTCAACAATAAATCGAGGCAGTTCGGGCAGATGAATTGATTTCGTGTTAAGTCATTGTTTAAGATAAACTATTTCTGTTAGTATTGTTAGGTATCAATTAACGCTATGAATGGCATCAATATTTCTGTTGGATCTCAATTTTACATACAAATCCGCAAAGCTGCTACGAAAGCTTTCAATTAGCATCAAGGGAATTATATATCTTTTTATATACATAAGCCGATTAAAAGTCGTTTGTTCTAGAAAAAATTTATTGGGGGAATGCAGCTGTCAGCACATAAGGTCTGCTTCATTGAGTGCTAAATGCGCTTAGCACCTGAGTAAATTTCACTTTGATCTCGTGAACGTCAGTAAATGTCCTTTGGCGATTTTGTCACTCCCCACTCTCAATTGGTGTCTATTTTTAATGCGCTTAAGGGTATGCAGCGTAAATTTTTCGCTCACAGCTTAATAACTCTGGAAACTAATGCAAATAACTGAGGGCAACTTTGAACTTTTACACAACAAAAAAAATAAAGAAAGAAATTTGCAAAAGTTCCCAATGCTCCCAGCTCAACCGCAAAAGCAGCTAATGCGCTTAGAGAGTAGAGTAGACTAAGGAGCGAGTGGACAAGTGGGCAAGTAGATATATATCCTATAAAGAACGACTACTGTTTCGTTTCTACGGGCACTCGTCCCTGTATCTATTACTGCCCGCAGCCAGAATGTCCATTATGGGCATTATGAATAAATACGCTCTTAGTCCACTTTTCCCTGCTGAAGTGCAGCGCATTGCAGTTAATTTGTGCATAGCTCTAGAAGTTTAACTTTAACTCGATTCAAATTCGTGCTTTAACTTTCACTCTGTTCGCAGCTCAAGCAACAAAGACTTCAGCAAACACCATGTTTTCTCTGGGGGCCTCAATCGAAAATGAGTTTATAATGTTGTTGATTACATTGTGTACTCTCAGTCCCAACACAATCTAAATTGAACCTAACAACTATGTTAGGAATTTCAGGTAGTTAGTCAGAGAGTCATTTATTCGGGTATGCATTTATCATCAGTTAGTCAATCAATCTTGCAATCGATTAGAACAACCACATTTATATTATTTATTTATAGTTTTATTTTGATCGAAGTTAATCGTCAGTCACTCAATATATTAGATGTTGGACTAATAATAAATATTTTGATTAAGATAATACCAAATTCAATCGTCAGTCTGCCAGCTATTCAAACTGTTAAAATATTCAACTTCAATGTAAATAAATATTATTATTATTATTATTATTAGTATTAGTATTAGTATTATTAATATTATTATTATTATTAGCATTAGCATTATTATTATTATTATTAGTATTATTATTATTATTATTATTATTATTATTATTATTATTATTATTTTTATTATTATTATTATTATTATAATTATTATTATTATTATTATTATTATTGCAGCTAACTATTCATTAACGCTTAAGCCATGATACGCAGTCAGTCAATCAATCAATTATTAGGCAGGATACACACTTACACATTATCTTTTATTGAATGTGGATTGTGGAGATAGTTATTCAGCTTTTTTGCCTATATGTCAACCATCAGTGAATCAATAAATCATTCAATCAATAAGAACATTAAATCACGTCGTCTTATAAATTCACTAAATACAAATTAATTTATATTATTACTTTAAAAACTATTGTTGTTCTATATAACTTAAAGTCTATTTTGGACATAGTCCATAAACACAAAGACATAATCATACATTCTGCCTGAACTATCGAATCAATTATTCATTCAGATTAAATCAACCAATACCATTTGTACAAGCTTATATCGAGCTATGCCCCTTAAGTCATTATTTACGGCCAAAACTATTCTTAAGCCAAGTCAATCAGTCAATCTCTTGGAAGACTCCATTTGATTTATGTTCAAAATTAGAATATTATTGTATTGAAATTTGGCATTACGTTGTATACATTCCTCTTGTTAAATTGTTATCAAAGTTTAGCTGACTTAACTAGAGTTGATTTCATAGCTCTGAATATTGACTTAATCTTTGTTTTGACAGCAGTTGCTGGTTGCCGCAGAACCTTTAGCTTTCCCTAATTGCGAGCCATTAAAAGTTTATTGAAATAAATAGCACGCATACGCCCCGTGGGTTGCTCCATAGCCTGATAAAATTTGAGCTGCGGGCAAAATGGATGACGGCAAATTACTTTTAATTCTTTTCGGCGTTAACGGCAACTCATCAAGTTGAGTATTTAAATTTCATTTATGCTCGTTATATTTGCATTTTTGCTGAGTAATGCGACTGCAATCATATTGAGTGCTTTCTTCTGCACATGCTAAAAGAAATTCTTTAAGGTGGCGAGTGCCCACTTACAAAACACCATAAATTCAATTCAATTAAACGAAGTATGAAGAACCCAACCCTCTAGTTATTAAATATATTTGTATATATATGTTGGAAGCTGCCTAGGTTTTTCAGCAACTCTGACTATAATCATTTACGAAGGTTGAATTAAAGGTTTTAATTTAATTAGTAAAATTTTATTTTTATTTATTGATTTATTGCTCTAAATACAGTGTCCGTGGCGTTCTTGAAAAAAAAGTCAATTTGTCGGGAGTAAAATTACAAAGCTTCTGCGCGCCTGACTACAATTTTTGGACAGAAAAGACAAGGGCAAGGAATAGAAGCTATATGTGGGAAAAATATTGGTTTGCTTATATCTACGAGTGCACTATGAGTGAAATTTACAGATCATTGGCAAGGCTGCGGGGTTTCCTGATCTTACTATGCTATGTTATCAATAACTTATATTTTTAAAAATATGACAGAAAAAAAAATGAACGAAGCTTTTTGCCACAACTTTTATGTGATATGAAATTTCGTTTGGCTTATGTTTAATTTTTGAGTTTGTAGATTTTTAGTTTTTAGTTTTTAGTTCAGCTTGCTGTTGCTTCAGGCAGCCATAAAGTCGAGTGAGTGTAGCTTATAAATATATATGAACATATCTGTGCAATGGCAAAAATTTAAAATTCCTGTGCCATACCTGTGCAACACATGTGCAACACCTGTGCTGTTTGTTAATTGTAACCCGCAGCCGTTTACGTACAACTGCTCTAATTGCAATGGTTGCCAGCAAATATTTATGCGTTCTTAATGGTGCATCGGATAACATTTAAAAATGAACGTGAAAACGTTGCGGAGCGTAAGCGGGTAAATACTTCCCATTGAAAAGGATAAATTGACTGCGAAATCAATGTTTTCCTCATCAATGAGTGGACTACAAAATATTAACACTTTAAAGGACGAAGGTGCATCGAAATATATATATTCAAAACTTCATACAAATCGACGGACGGACTGCACATTGTAAATTGCAAAACAAATATTTTCTTAACACTTTCAACCAACTTTTTATAGATGAGCTACGACCCATGGAATGGTTCTATACAAAAACTTCAAATCTATTTTGAACATAGACCATAAACACAGAGACATAATCATACATTCTGATTGACTAATTGTTTCAGTAATGTCGGAATATGTTTAAAATATGTTTATTATGTTTATAAGTCAAATTAAATAGAATAAGAAGTATGGAGTGCTGTTTGTTATGTTTGTTTCTCGGTATTTCCTAGACGTCTATACTATTATTTTTAAACTTACATTAGACAATGTATTAATATATGGGAACAGACTCAAATTTTTGGACAGAAAAGACAAGAGCAAATTCGAAAGTTGCATAACTCTTTTATATCCTTAAAGGAAAATTAGGTATTTGCAGTTCGTTTGAGTTTTGATCGTTTTCTTACTCTGATATTAGTAAGTTGGTTGGCAATCTAATTAGCTCTTCTAGTAGAATGTCATTATGATCTAGCAGATACAGCACTCTCAATAACAACTACTATTCGTTGTTAGGTTGTTGTAATCCCATTTCTTCGAGATCTTAATCCATCACAAATAGGTATGTAATTCGTGCCTGAACTTATTCTCGCATTGCCGCTTTGCACATGATTTAGATCCGGCGCACAATTAATACATAATTATAATTCTCTGCTAGGCAAAAGCTCTGGTTCAGCATAATTAATTAATTATACAGTAATGGAAAAGGTTGTATGTGCATGTGTGCACATATATATATGCTTATGGCTTACATGATTGACTAACCAACTGCCTTAATGACTAACTGACTCGGTAATTATGCCAACCAATGAAATGGGTGAAAGTCGGTGTCAGCGCGTACGAACCGCTTGTCAGGATTGCCGCAGCTCGAAAAGTTGTTGCTCAGCAAAAAACAAACACAAAAACAACAAATAAGCAAAGAAAAATGTTGTTGAAATTTGTTGTAACTATTGTTTAGCTGTTGACTACATTAAGTATGCATTACGCGTGGGTATTGTACAGAATTGACTGTCGCTCCATTTGTATGCATACAGGCATAATAGCAGACATCTATATAGCCAATTGTACACAGCGAGAAAACCTATACTAGTTGTTATACTGTCTCAAGCACTCGGAATATTTAAAAATATATCTTTTGTTTTTAAATAATATAAATAAATAATAAATAAGATACAGGAGAAAATCTTTTCACTTAACAATTAATATTAATAAACAACTTTAAAATTAAAATTTAATAATTACAAAATTGTGGACGAAAAACTAATCAAGTAACTTCAAATATCTCTTCTCAACAAGCACCACTTTAAAGCTTAAGACAAATATAAGGTCTTCAAAATTTACCAGAAATGTCTAAAATTATTATCTTTAACACACACATATAATATACACCCTTCTTTTTCAACAGAAAGTGCCATTAGGCTCATGGAACCTATTCAATGCAAACAAACTATCAAATCATTCCTGTTTATATATTAATGCAGATCATTAAAATAGCTTGTTTTAATGAAGTCCTCTGTATTAAGAATTAAATGAACGGATTTCTGGAATTCGAGAAGTCGCCTGAAAGAAGAAGTTCCATTTCAGCTAAACAAGCTGAGACCACGCGAGTAAATGTTACTTGACTCCTGCTCTGAGTGTATGTGTACTTAACAATGTTTGTCTGTGTGTGTGTGTGTGTGTGTGTGTGTGTGCGTGCACTGTCTAGTAAGTTTTGCGCCCTAATAAATTAGTCAGGCAGTTATATTGCGTACAGGTTCAAGAGCCTTGAATATTCTGTGCCTTATGCCTTATGCTTGGTGAATCATAAGTTGAGGATGGCCTGGCCTAAAAGGTTAGCTTTCCGTTCCACCCCTTTTGACTGCCTCTAATTGCTTCTTACTTTTTGCCCGCAAATATTTTCGGGTCTCTAATGTGCAGCACGTGGCTTTAATTGCGATATTTTCCTGCAATACCATTATATAAGGGTATTTCTAAATTTGTATCTCATTACTTAACTAATCGTTGAACGCTCATGATTGGCTCATGATTGCCATAGCATAAAAAAGTAGTAATTAAGTAAAAAAGTTCGATTTTCGACAAGAGTACCTCGTCGAACTGGAACAAATGTCCTTTCAGAAACTAAACACTACAATTTGAATAAATTGTTATAATAAGGAAAACTAATAATATTGAAACAAGTAAGAATGTTGGAGTCGGGCGCTACCAACTGTATAATACTCATCCACGCAAAATATAGTTTGGTACGCTTTGCCAAGCCCCCAGTAGGAGAAGTCGCAGACGGAGTCTAATGTAATGTAACTGTAAAATTTGTCGACTCAAAAATAATATATGATGGGTTATTTTCGACATGAAAAGCCCCATAGAAGCGAATTTTTGTGTGCATCGCTAGAGATAGACATAGAGAAGTAACTCAATAGGCTCAGATACTTACATGGACTTTCGCGATTTGCAACGCCCTTAATGATATAATCTATATACTTGTAGGGTTGTGCTCAACAGTATATAATAAAAATTTCTAGTCAATTCACTATAACTAATACCAGATAAAGTATGTCCCTAATAGGGATAATCTTAAAACTTTATCAGACGAGGGTACCCACGAGTATATATTCCAAATCGAGTCTCTAGATTCAATACGGCGAAGTGGTTGTCATTTTGGCATTGTTAAAATATATGTAACAGGCAGAAGAAGCCATGGCATCCCATAAAGTATATATATTCTTTATCAAACCGACAAACCGTGTCCGTCTGTCTATCTATCTATCTGTCCGTCTGCTCGTATGCATCGCGTCGATCTCAGGTCGATCGTGATACATGTGCACACATACATTCAAATTCGTGCATCCTTTTCCATTCGAAGAAGCGAAGTGCAGTGGCGGTGTTGGTAGAGCTGGCGCTCTTTGTCATGGAGTTCTGTGTTCAATGCCGGGCAATGAAGGGGATTTTTTTGTTTTGTGTTGGTAGAGTTGATGCGCGCTGCTTAGGCAATGTTGGTGCTTTGTGTTCTAATTTCGGGTTTCATTGTATTTTATTTTAATGCTTGATACAAACTATGAAATATATTAAAAGATTCTGATAGGACTGGTATCAGGGTATCTCCTAGTCGGGCACGCCGAATAAAGCTTTCTTACTGGTTTTCTTCTTATGTTCTTAACAATTGAAACGAAAGTAAGTCATTTGTTTCTCTATTCTGTGTTTCCCTTTTACAGTTGGTTTCTAGCAACCCGAATCAACGCAACTGGCGCGGCATTCTCATCGCTTTGCTAGTGATTATCATTGTGCTGGCCCTGATTGTAACCTCGGTGGTAAGTCGCAACATCGGTGTAAATATAATATTCCTTGAGTCAAAAATCAATTGTATGTTGCAATGCTATGAAAATGTTCGTTAAAAATGCAACTCAAGGAGTTTCGGTGTTCTTACTTTTGTGTACAAAAAATACCTTTTTCCAATTAAATCAATATAACACAATATTTACCAACACACACACACACACAGCTGTACAAATACATATACATAATACCGCAATATTCACAATAGTCCACTGCAATTGTATTTTGTGTTCTGGTCCAATGTACAAAAACATGTCGAAATCAGTCGGATGCTACCGACTTTGTAATACCCTGTTCAAAGCTTTCTATCCAGTGAAGTTTCAGGCATGAACACTGAAATGTGAGTTCGAGTAAACTCGCTTACACATTGTGAACAGCGTATTACGACAATTGAAAACCTCAAATGTTATTCGTGTAAATACGTTTCGCTCATTTTTGTCTTCTTCTTTGTTTATTTTTTTTTCTTTACAACCTGGCTGCGTGATATTTGTGCACCTCTTTGAAATTCCTTTTTCCATTTTCCCATTGTTCCCATTTTGTGTTGATGTTGCTCTCTCGTTCGTTGTTGTGATGTGTTGTCGTACCGCGCATATAGAAAACAACATATAAAATTTCTGCATTTATCAAAAAAGGTGCTGCTCACGCCCCCCGATGAGGGACCGCGCGTTAAGGGGCAACGTATCAAGCTGCAGGACATTGTCGATGGACTCTACGTGCCACAGCGTGCAAATGCCAGTTGGATTGATGGTAAGTTTCACAGCCAACGCTGAGCAAAGTCTATTTCCTTCTAATACTGATGTTTTCTCAATGTCTAGTTAAGGTGCCTTACTCATACTATTATTGACCTCAACTAAATGGTTACCTCCTAGCTAGGAGCTATGATTATAGCTAATTGATTTTTTCCATAATAAATTGATGTACATTAAATAAGCCAGCGGGAAGATCTAGCCAATCTATTTACAAGCTCTACGCAGTAGAAAACTTGTACTCTATTTAAAATCTGGAGTTTATGCGATGTCTTTTCCTTTCAAAGTCTAGCTAAAGATGAATTTTCACAGCAGAGTTCTAAGTATTAATCATTTGGAATAGATGAAGATCCCACATCCCGTTTAAATTAATTGACTTAAGTATATCAAAAAGCTGTTGCTGGAGGCTTGCCTTATATAATTAAGGGGTTCAGTTATATTAATTAATTTTTATTACTATTTATTTATATGCTAATTTAAAGGAAACAATCTAGACGTTATTGAATCAAAATATAATTGATTGATAAATGTAGAGTGCGTAGCAGAATATTATGTAGCTTTGCTTAGGGGTATGTGCCTAAGTAAATAAGTCTGACAACTCCAGCGAGAAGATAACTTAACCAAGTTGATGCGCTGAACATGATCTTTCTTTTTTTCGAAAATGTTTCTTAAAACGTACTTTTTTTGTATTTTTGTTTTCTTAAGATTTCATAGGGAAGCAGCTGTTATTATAGTTAAGCAGTTATGCACGAAGTGAATACCATTCTGGCATACCAGAAAACGCAAAGTCGATATCTAATCTGGAGCTGGCAGCTGTAGGACCGTTTTGTTCATAGTCATCATAATAAAATGTTCTACAACATTGTCCAACTAGATGCTTTAACTAAATAAAATAAATAAAAAATATGTAATAAAATAAAATAAAAAATATATAAATATATATATATATATATTTTTATTTATATATATATATATATATAAATAAAAAATTAAAATTAATTAAATATATTGCACACCCTAACTGGACATTGTGAAGATGTACCTAGATCAGAATTTACAACATTCCCCTTTCTATTCCCGATTCGCAGCTGAGGAGTTTTTGTATCAGGATCACTTGGGACGCATCTGCCTGCTGAATGCAGCCAATCGCACGGAACGCGTCCTCATGTCTAATGTGACATTTGTAAGTACATTTTTATCCCTTGCCCTAGCCTTGGCTATGGCCTGCAGTGTATGCTTATTGCTTATCTGGGAGCTGAATAAATATTTGCAGCATGTTATTTACGATTGGGGTTGGGTGGGAAGGGGGAGTGGCTACTGCTATCTCAAGTGTACACACTTGACTTGGCAGCCTAACAGTTGGCAGGCACTGTTAACTGATACACACACAAATACAAGCCCACATAGAGAGACTATAGCGAGCGCAGCAAAGTAGGCAAAAACAAATGAGCCAAGTTATCGCTACGCCATAACGATAAAAGCCAAACGATTCTTATGTCAATGCTTGGGTAAACATGGAGCAGAAAATACATATATATATATATATGTATGTTGTTACATTCAACGGTTGGGGTAGCTATTCGGCTGATTTTCTAATGAATAATGCGCGCTCTGAAATTGAAAAACAAACAAATAAAGCAACATAAATGTTTTATGGATAACAGCCAAAGGCGCCCAAATGAGTGGGGCCAACTTTTGACAGAGGCGAAGAAGACGCCACCATTTGGTAGTTCTCTACAGCAACAAGTGCCACAAAGTGCCAACTGGCAACTGCAACATGCAAAGCAAACACAATCGCTTGTGTCAACACTTGGCAAATAATTAATGAGCAGCCAGTAGAAAGGAATCAGTCAAACAAAATAGATTATATTTGACACTAAGCCCAGCTGTTCTAGCTTACACTCAGCGAAAAAGTGTATTATATTTATCTTATCAGCCTGATTCAAGCTGAAAGAGAAGTTCGATTTGAGTAAACTAACACTTTGATTACAAGAATTTGCATCTTTTCAGCAGGGGCTAAAACAACTAGAACCACTAAAGACCAATTACGAAATACATCACGTATTTAAGCATATGTAATCCCAGAGTCTAGAGTCTATTATCTATAAAATAGTATAATATTTGTTAGCAACAATAAATAGTAAATTATAATATTGCATCGAAAAATAGTTCTACTAATTTATAGTTAAGGCAAATGAATAGATAAAATTTACTGCTTAGATATCAACGTTAATAAATTTACAATCCTGGTTTGGGATTATAGAAAAGCTAATTAAGGCTTCATTGTGGGGAAAGTATCATCTCATATTGAATTAAAATGCAACAAAATATTTAGTAAATGGTAAAATATGAAATACAGTTTTGCGAAACAGGAAATGGATTGCAAATGGATTATTTCATAAGTCACTTATAGGCTTTTATGATGCACTAAAATAAACTTAACTATGCGGAATACATTTATTTTAGGTAAATCATTTTCACTTAAAGCTCATTTTTTAAATTCAAAATGAAAAAAAAGTTTCTTTAAACAAAAAAGAAGGATTATATAAAATTTATAACATAATTTTCGGCCCAAAAGTTTTTGGAACAATTGCGTCCAATTGCTTGAGAGATATAAACTGAGACAAATTGTGTTTGATTGGAATAAAGCATTCAGGATACTTAACGCCTTAACTTTGATTCATTTTATTTGTCGGCTAGGCAAGTGGATAAAAGCGACTAGCAAGATATCTATACATCCTCTGTGCATACTCAAACTTATTTGTTAAACTGTCACAGAATTTCAATTTAGGCACTTGTGCTTTATCTGGCATACTTTAGTGATTAATTAACAAATCTAAATAAGAAATTTGCACAGCTAAATTGGCAAAACACGCGCTATGCAAACAATTAAAAATTTTTAATTAAAATTGCGTATACGCAGCGTTCGCCATTATGCGCCGCATTGTTATGGCAGCTGCTTAAGAGCTACCACACGCAGCTACTTGAGCGTAAAATTCGTTTGAAATCAACTAACAACATTCACAAGAATGTTCTTAATGGCACACATTTTGAATGAGCTGCTGCTAATTCAGAGTATATTCTCTACATATACAGAAAACCCTGGCGCCCTTCACATTTAGCATATCAGCAGATAAACGTTACCTGCTTCTGGCACAGAACGTGGCCAAACTGTTTCGACACTCGTATTTGGCACAGTACACGCTCTACGATATACACACGAGGTAAGTGAACAACTTCCGCTTCTCTTTGCGATTCGCATAAATGCGAGTTCCTTTTGCAGCGAGGCCATCAAATTGCGCTACAATTCACAGCAGGAGGAATGGCCCTATATGCATTATGCGAGATTTGCAAGCTCTGGAAATGCTTTGATCTGGGTGCACAACTACGATATTTATTATCGCCAAGAGGTTCGTGCCTCACTCGCCTATCGCATCACTCACGATGCGGTGCCGGGCATTGTCTACAACGGCATACCAGATTGGTTATACGAAGGTAAGTAAAAATAGGGTCATTGATTTTTATTTCTGTGCTCATTTACTCAGTTGATCACTGACAATTCGTTTTGTGAAACTGTCCATAATCGGCCTATCGATAATTAAGTATAAGGAATCGGTATTTTACTGATTCATTAACTGAACTAGTATAAGGAATCGGTATTTTACTGATTCATTAACTGAACTAGTGAACTAAACAATCGCTATTACAAGTCGATTTAAAATATAATTATTATTATTAAAATAATAAAATTACCTATTAGCTCCAGCAAATACAATAAATTAAAATACATATAGCAAACATATATTGGGACTAAATAGTTCTAGCTAATGAGATATGTATGTAATATGACAGTCAATTTCTTTATGAGATTCCCTTTGAAATTTCTGAATCAAAAATATACTTTATTATTAACTATCTCAGGGGCATCAAGTCTAATAGGGAAGAAATACTTTTATAAGCAGTTAGGTCGTCGTTGATATTTTATTTTTTGTTCTTTTAAAAAGTTAATCTGAAATACATGGTAACTTAATTTAGAAACTTATGTATTATATTTCTTTTATAGACAGATCATCTAATTATCATTCAGTATAATAAGCTTTCAGCATTCGATAAGGCTTCAACTGTTTAAGAGTGAATTCTCCATATGTGGCTAAGATTGCAGGTTCCAAATGTCTGTCTAGTCGTTTTCCATGTTATATATACCGCTTATAGAGGAAATTGAACATTTGTTGCCAATTACGCTTATCATTAGATATAGAAACACAGCATATTCGAGAAACAGTCGTTATTCATAAAACATTTTTCCGTTCATAGAGGAAATTCTGCATACAAATAATGCCATTTGGTTGTCGGATGAGAGTCACCTGCTGCTCTATGCGAGCTTCAACGATACACACGTGCAGGAGCAGCACTTTGCCTGGTATGGCACGACCTCCACAGGCGCCGCAGGTGGTGCTGCGACTAGCGGCACGAGTCATGGCAGTGGCAATGCAAATGGAGGCGGTGGTGGCCATGGTGGCGGTGGCTCAGCTGGCGGCACTAATCCGCATGCCAACTTGTATCCGGAAATTAGATCCTTACGGTAAGTTGTACCATGTCCCAGGCAATATTACTTTTCGATTAGGTGTTAATGATGTGCTCGTGACTGTCATTAGTCCTAAATAGTGCTAGGGTAAACGAATACTTAAAATTCATGAGGTGCAGATAGTTTTTGGCACTCCCTATTGCGACGCTGCTAACCCAAATGTGCCCAGGTATGCAGGAAAGTGTTAAGATGCTGCGTACGTGTAAGAAGATTCCTATACACTGTTCACACGGCAAAGAAGGTGTATTGACTCATTGATAAAATTCGAACTCAGCTGTGGCTCTTAAGATTTGAGTTGAGGAATTAGTAGTAAAATAGGGACTTTCCTATCCTCTCTTTACGAAATGAAAAAGAGAGTATTTGGTTCTCAGTTTGAAACTTTAAAAGTTAATAATTACTGAGTTTAATTGTAAGAATATTATAGCTTGTGTAATAATTAGAATACTAATATTAATTATCAAAATATATGTTTTAAAAAGAATAATATTAATAATTTTCCCATGTCAAATTTTCGGAATATTCTGTAAAAATATTCATTTTAGGCTAATTAAATTTGAGTTTAATTTCAAAGCCTGCCAATTAATTCCAATTTCTGATTGTCTACCGAATGGAATAAAAAACTCTAAGCCAATTGCAGCTCTTACATTCTTAGCAGAGTATTTAATGTTCAGTACTTTATGGAGCACAGAATTACACGTAATCAGTTGCACTCGACTGCTCAACTGGACATTAAAATTAGTTGGCAGTGTAAGGCTCTTGGCAGTCGGCCACGCTAGTCCTTTTACAATACGAAACTGAACTGCTGTCATTTGCGATTTGATAAATGGCCAAATGTGCAAAAGGTTGGCTCAAATTCTTTGCTTCGTCCCTTGGGCCTTGCGGAGCTGACAAAATTGCCAACAAACCTGTTGTGCTTAGTGTAATATCATCATTTGGGAATTATTTATGCAAAGAGGTGTGTGTGCGTGTGTGAATAAGTGCAGATGCCATCAGTGGTAATTGAATATGCTATATAAACGAAAACTTTAGCTCAAGGTGGAATTTGGAAAGCCAAATTTTAAATTGAGCTGTCTTAAGTTGAAATCTGATTAGAATCGCAGCGAAAACTTTAACAATTTAAATTCATCCAATTAAAATGAATTGCACAATTAGTTTAGCTATTTAAGGTGTTAGGAAATGATATGCAGAGCTTAGGCTTTATTGGGAATTTATAATGCCTATCAAAAGGTAGCAGCGTGCGATGCAGTGAACGATTGATGATTATATAAGTTTACGAGTGCCTCTCGCGTGCAACGGCTTGACACCTTGTTGCCTGGAAATGCCTTGGCCGACAGTTGCTCACATGTTGCTGACACAGCGGATCGTCGGTACTCTGATCGCAACGGTCAGTATCGGTAACCTGAGCAGTTGCCCATGCCGAAAGAGCAGCGTTATCGTTGATGATTGTTGTAAAAGTCTGAGCAAATGTGAACCAGCCTGCTGTAACTTCCAGTTCTTAAGTTCAGTTTGTATTTGAGCTTTATTCAGACCAGAATAAATTAATGAATGCACAAGGGTTGCAATATTAGAGCCATAAACTAAATTTTAGCATTAGCTAAAAGTAAATAATACATTTTAAAATCCCGTCAGCACTTTTATCTTTTTATGTCCTTTACATTTAATTGTAGTAAGAGCTTAGTGCGTTTGTAACCCCATGAATTTCTCTCTTGTTGCAGCTATCCAAAGCCGGGCACACAGAATCCCACAGTTACCCTGCGTGTGGCTGACCTATCGGATCCCCAGAAGATACACATCACAGATCTAACACCACCAAAAATACTAAAGAACGAGTGCGTATGGACCGTCCATAGGAGTTACTCCTCGACTAATCTGCTATGCTCTTCTGCTTCTCTTCTCCTATAGGGATCACTACTTTAGCAGCGCCAGCTGGGTGAGTGCCAAGGAGATCGCTGTGGTGTGGCTAAATCGACCACAGAACATATCTGTGGTTAGCGTTTGCAGGAGTCCTTCGTTTGTGTGCACTGAGGTAGGTTGCAGTTGACCTAATTAAGCGTGTTTCTGCTCATAGCTGGTGTGTGTGTGTCCTTGTATCCTTGTGTGTAGACGCATCGTGTGAGTGGCGATGGACGCGGCTGGGTGGACACCGTCTCGGTGCCATTGTTTGCGGCAAATGCGAGCCTCTATGTGGCCATATCACCGCTGCGCGACGGCTCGTTTGGTAAGTGAGCCATATGTCAATCCGGCTTTTGTTTTGAGCTCGATTCACAATCAACTCTCCGACCTTCCTCCTCTATCGCTCTCGTTCGCAATCGGACAGGCTATTTCCGGCACATCGTGCACGTGGACATTGACAATAATCGGGTGCTGCCCCTCACCCACGGCCCCTACGAGGTGAATCGACTACTCCACTGGGATCAACTCGATAATTGGATGTAAGTAGCTAACGGAAGCAGCAATTCGACGGTCCAACTCAAAACTGAATCCCCAATTGCGATTACCGTTGTCAAACGACAAATTTAAGTATCACATAAACTGACTTTAATGCATGGAACGTGAATGATTCCATAAAAACTGACAGCTCTTAAAGAACAACACAAACTAGAAAAGCAATTGTTACGAGAGTAAAATGTTTACAGATAGTTGAAGGAAGATATAAGGATTCAACCTTGGGTTGGATTGACGTAGTAAGTTCAGCTGTTTTCGTTCAACTAATTGAAGTGAGAAATCAATTCACATCGTTTTAGCTAGATAATAGACTTCTTAAGGTCCTTAGAATTCCTAAGATAATTCTGTCTTTACAGATTGACAAAAGAATGACTAAGACTTTGAGTTTGTTAAATTTGCAACTGACTCTATTTATATGGAGATATACCTTAGGAAGTAAGCTTCAGTTAGGATACAGCTTGAACCAATTGGAAATAATAAATCATTTTTTATTACTTAACAGATCAGTTTACTTAAGATTCAGCTTTAAATTCAGAACAACACGTAGTTGATATTATATGCAATCTATTCAATAACTGAAAGCAAGGATCAAGCTTGAATCGAATGAGTCATTTAAGACTAATTAGCATTGATTCATGTTCCTATTATGGTTTCTATATAAAATCTATTTGCAAGTTTACTAACTTTTTCTAAATTGATTAGGTAGTTTAATGTGTTTTAAGAATCATGCACTTATATTACCTAATTCAATTAAATAGTATTACAAGCTCTTTAATAATTCATAGAGTTACTCCATGCAAATTGTCTTCATAACTTGAATTTAATTAGTAGTCTCTGTTACAAAATATTATTATTTATGATTCATTTTCTTGTGCGCTAATATTTTCACAAAAAATTACATTCAGTTATTAAGAAAACTTATAAAGCTTTGAGCTTTAAGGCAGCATTTTTACGGATGCCTACGCGTTTAAGATTTATTTCAAGAGCCTCGTTATTCACATTCAAGTTTATTGAAGAATTTCCTTACCCCAACAAAAATTTCCTTGTAGCTATTTTTTAGGCACACCCGAGCGTTTGCCTTCGCAGCAGCATTTGTATCGAGTCTCAGCGTTGCCCGCTCGTCAGGGCCAGGCTCTGCAGGCACCGGACTGTCTGACGTGTCCGGCGTTAATGCACAACAGCGATGGCTATGACGAGGGTCACACCAAATCGCCGCCAAAGCTTGTAACCGCATGGGACGATGACTGGGAGGACTCTGAGGAGACAGAGTCGTTGCCACCGCCACCAGCTATGCCTGTGGAACAGCAACAGCGACAGCCGCATGCACATGGCGGAGCTTTGCCTCCACCACCGAGCGATTGTTTGTATCATGAGGCGCAGTTTCCGCAAACGCTGCGGGCACGCTTTGTACTGCTGGAATGCCTGGGTCCAGTAGTGCCCAGTTCCATAATATACGGCTTAAAGCTGGCAACTGGACCTAAGGCTAAAAAGCAGAGCCAGTCGCAGGGGGAAAAGCAGTTGCCAACAGATGCTCCTGTCGAAGAAACCATCGAGCCCAAGTCGCAATTTCTCGAGCTGCTTGTCACCGTGCAAAATAATACGAGACTTAAGGAGAAAATGGCAAAGGTCGCGCTGCCGCAGGTGAAAACCTTTCCGGTCATGATCTCTGGGGGTTACCATGCCCAGGTCCGTCTCCATTTGCCGCCCGTCTTGCGTGAGGATGAGATCACACGTTATCCCACCATATTGCACGTTTACTCTGGCCCAGGCACTCAGCTGGTCACCGATCGCTGGCATGTCGATTGGAACACGTATTTGGCGGGTAGCAAGGATTACATAGTCATCGAGATTGATGGCCGCGGCTCGTCGGGTCAGGGCTATCAGCTGCTTCATGAGGTTTACAAGCGCTTGGGCAGCGTAGAAGTCTCTGATCAGCTGGAAGTTAGCGAATATCTGCGTGACAATCTACATTTCATCGATGCTCGCCGCATGGGTGTCTGGGGCTGGAGCTATGGCGGCTACACGGCTGCTCTCGCTTTAGCTGGACAGCAGTCGATCTTTCAATGCGGCATCAGCGTCTCCCCGGTTACCAATTGGAAGCTATACGGTACACCAACTCTTCACACTCTATTTATGCATTTATAATGACACTCTGCTTTGTTTTCATTCGTTAGATTCCACCTATGCGGAACGCTATCTGAGCTTTCCCAATGTGACAGACAACTACAAAGGCTACGAGGAGAGCGATCTATCCAAATACGTGGACAATCTGCGCGAGCGTCAATTTCTGCTCGTACATGGCACAGCGGATGACAATGTGCATGTCCAGCAATCGATGGTGCTTGCTCGAGCTCTGACCAGCAAAGGTGTGCTCTATAAGCAACAAATCTATCCAGATGAGGGGCATAGTCTGTCGGGTGTGAAGCGTCATCTATATCGATCGATGACTGCTTTCTTTGAGGACTGTTTCAAGAAGCTGGTGAGTCTCGTATTGAGGTCTTTTCAGCCATATATATATATATATATATATATATATATATATATGTGTGTGCATATATATACGCATATATATTCTACCACTCTCCTACCATAACTCTCTATTTCTCCTGCTCTCCACTACCTCAACCACAATAATTACAAACTACCTCAAAAACTTACTTCATCATGTCATTTCACATGATCGATTGCTATCGATCTCTCTCTCGTGTAGCTCGACCAACAACAGCAAAATCAAACAGATTCCATGGATTTCCTGGACTTTCATAGTTTCTATGGTGGTTAAACAATAAATCCTTTGCCTAGGTACAGTCGCCGTTGTTATCAATCGTCGTCGTTGTTATTTTTGTCGTAGACTTCTCTCTGTTTCAATGTCTCTTGTTGAGCGTTTTACGGGAACAACCTATAAAAAACAATCAATACATATACCTACAAAATTCAAAGATCAAAATTATTATTTGGTTTCATTAAGTTTCTGCTATAATATTAAACTTAAATGAACTTTCTATCATTTATTTAACTCGTTAATCTATATTCAGCATGATCTATTGTTAGTTTTTTCTTTCAAAGCTATCAATGTCCGCATACTTTTTTGTTTTACGAATAAAAAGAGTTTAGAATAATTAAAAAGTTAACGATAATAATAAAAATCATACAATCCCAAAGTTAAATAAGAACAAATATAAATTAAAGCATACACTTAAAGAAAAAATAAATTGTAACCAAGTTTGTTGGTATTACATATAGAAAATGTGAATATATAAAATATTTTTGTTGTCCGAGTCCATAGAGTGTTTAGATATATTCATGAGGAAGAGCAAAATTTGTTTCAATTTAGCTCTGTGCATATGTTTTTATGGCATATCCGATTAATTGATTTAATCGACATTAAAATATGTTTATTTTAGCATATCTCGCATGCTTTAAGAACAATTCATCCAATTTGGGATATACATATTATTTTAAATGAAATACAAATAATAAGGTCTTTAAAACTTGCAAATTTTAGATATAAAAGATATATGTTATATGTAGTCGTCTCTCACGTTTATAGGGTAGTTTCTAGTCGGCCACTTTCGACTATAACTTTCATACGTCTTTTTTCTTGAGTGTATGCACATATGACTTTTGCTTTTGAGTGCCGTTACCTTGTATTTTTGTCTTAGTTTCTCGTTTGCTCTTTCCTTGTCATTTGGTTTATTTGGTACGCAAGTTTTGCCTATTTCTACTTTCGTATTGTTTCGACTTGATTTTCGTGCATTTTTGATGCCACAAACAAATATCCTTGTTATTTTATGTGTGTATGTAAGTTAGTATGTGGGTGTTTGTGTGTGTGCTTATATATGTATGTACGCGTGCGAATATTTTGGGACTTGCTCTTTATTGGAAACATTTCTATGTGATTCTTTTACTGTTTATTTTTTCCTTGGGTGTAAACGCACAGAGCCACTCACACACACAACCACCGACACATTCTCACACACTCAGACACCCATACACACACACAGATACACACAATTGCTATTTTACCTGAATGTTGCTTATGCTTTGATTGTGTCTTTAATTTACATAATATCTTTGCCCGTATCAGATGAACTCAAATTCAATTCGAAACTAACTCGTAAAATTTCATTTTCCATGTAAATGCGCCAACAGGTGCCGCCTGAGACGAAGGCTGGACTGGGTGGAGGCGGCGCCGAAATGCAACAGCAATAAAAAGCAACAACAACACGGGCAACAGCAATAAAAATTTTTGATAACATTAAGCATTAAATGAGAGCGAAACGTGAGAGAAAAACATTTGCGTAAATTACATAAAATGTAATTTATAATAAAAACCACACACAACAAAGAAAAGCTTTGTTACAACTTAGATACAGATGCAGGTTGTTAGTGTGATGTTTAAACTAATATAAAATCAATTCATTTATTTTTTAAATATTTTTTCAATATTTAATAATGTTTAAAAACTAAAAAATGAGACCAAAACAGTTCCACAGCTTATTTCAACCCCAAACTTTGCAGCTGATGAAAGATCCGTTATTTTGCAATGCAACAGTAGATTCTTGTTCTATGCTTTATTCACTGTTTTCGCAGTGTGATAAAATAAATTTTTGCAGAATTTTGAAAGCTCAACTTTCAGAAAAGTGAATTTAGCAAAATGGGACCACGCACACCTATTGAGCAGCGGGAACTTGTTCTCAAACACTATAAAAATGGTCATTCCCGTAGAAAAATTGCTGAGATGGTTGGATTTAGTGATTCTACAGTTCAAAGCATCATATACCGGATTGTCCGTGAAAATAGAACCCACGATAAAGGCAGAAATGCTCCAAACAAAATTTTTAATCCCACGGACGAGCGCTATATTGTGAGAAAAATCCGGGATAACCCAAGGATATCGGCTCGACAAGTAGCCAATGATGTTAAGGAGGAGTTGGGCAAGTCATGCCACCCAGAAACTATTCGCCGTGTGCTTCGGGAACATGACTTTAATGGCAGAGTACCACGCAAGAAGCCTTTTATAAGCGACAAAAACAAGAAGAAGTGTCGCTTAAAATTTGCCCAGGAGCACTTGCACAAGGACATTGGATTCTGGAATACAGTTTTATTTTGCGATGAGTCCAAATTTAATTTGTTTGGGTCGGATGGGCCCTCATATGTGTGGCGTAAGCCTAACACAGAGCTTGACGCAAAACATTTGAGGGCTACAGTAAAGCATGGCGGAGGCAGCCTTATGGTTTGGGCCTGTATGTCAGCAGCCGGCGTTGGGAACTTAGAGTTCATTGAGACTACGATGGATAAAGGCAAATATCTTGATATTTTGAAGTCCAATTTAATTCAAAGTGCTCAGAAACTGGGCATAAAGGAGGACTTCAGATTTTATCAAGATAATGACCCGAAACACACTGCGGGAATTGTCCAGACTTGGTTGATCTGGAAATGTCCGCACGTTATGAAACCACCAGCCCAGTCACCAGATTTAAATGTAATCGAGAATTTGTGGTCGATTTTGGAAAAAAACATTCGCAAACACAATATATCCAACAAATCGGACCTAAAAGCTGCATTGGTTGAGGAATGGGAAAAAATTACTCCAAAAGTCACCAAAAAGTTGGTGGAATCTATCCCAAAAAGACTTAAAATAATAGTTAACCAAAAGGGTGGTCACACTAAGTATTAATTTCTTATTATTTTATGTTATTTTAGTGTTATATAATGTTATTTCATAAGTGGTTGAAATAAGCTGTGGAACTGTTTTGGTCTAATTTTTTAGTTTTTAAACATTATTAAATATTGAAAAAATATTTAAAAAATAAATTAATTGATTTTATATTAGTTTAAACATCACACTAACAACCTGCATTTAAATTTTCGGGATACCCCAATAGTTTAGATTTTATAGCCCAACAAACTTTTTTAAGGTGCTGGTTGAAATAAGCTGTGAGCCACTGTATATTCGAAGCGTTGCCAGATCATTGGAAGTTGTTAATCACATTTTGCAGATCATTCGACAAACAAAACAACACTGAAAGTTCATTAACAGGAAATTATAGATTCAGCTACACACAGCCGTCTTCTGCGACAAGAACAAGAACCGAAAAAGTGAATAAGCATTTTATTCAAAGTAATAATCAGCAATAAAAAAAATTTAAATACCGAGTAAATGTGCAAAAGAAAAAGACGAGAAAAAAATCGAACTGGTTGTGACATCATGATATACACAAACGCATATAAAAATACTACAATAAATTCGTGCTTTAAAGAACTTTCACGCGCAACATTCTTAAATGCCTACAGAAAAAACAACGCATAAATGCCGCATATTTCATTTCGTTTATTGCATTTTTTATGCATTTGCTGCACAAATTTCCAATTAGATTTTACACAAAAATGAAATAACCAAGCTCATATATACATATACATTCATATGTATATATTTCTATAGTAGTGCAAAATTCGCCCGCCAGGTAGAGCTACTGAATGTCAGCCACGTGGGTCACAGGCAAATGTGTAGGAAATTATGTTCATAAATCAATTTCGTAAACATTTGAAAAAGCAATTTAAATGACATTTTCTGATAACGGAGCACACATAAAATGGTTGTCAAATGGTCACATAAATCTCACAGATTTATAAGCTTTAAGTACATTTGAAAGTTATTAAAATCATTTCTTTTTCGGTGATTGTGCAAAAAAATCTTTTTTCCGTTTTCAGTTGAGTGCAAAAATAATTTAGCATAATAAATACAAATATTTTTCTCAAACCAAGTCGGACATCAACCTATTTATAGTCTGATATTGCTCATTGTATACAAATTGCTCAGATAGTCCAAAGTGTGTGTGCTTCTGTTGACTCCCCACCAACTAATAATTGAAACCGCATTCATTCGAGTAACTAATTAAATGGAATAAAAAGGAACAGCAATATATAAGACATAGATAAACGAAATAAGCGACATTAACAAGTGCGTTAAACATTTAAATTAGAATACCATAAATAAAAAGAAAAATAATAATTTTTGCTCTGCTTTTCACAAGCGCAGCGAGAAAACAATTTAATTGAATAGTGAATTAATTATTAAATGAAATGGCCAAATTGAATTATAATTTGTATTGAAATTAAGCAACAATACTGTTTGCATGTAAGTAGCGCAATAATATTATATACATTTAATATTTAATATTGAATAGTTATATTAATTCAGTTCATTGTTGATTGCAACAACTTCGCACCGAAGGCAAGCATAAAAGTACATTTCTAAATGAGCGTAGTGAATATAGTATTAATATAAAAGCTCAATACATTTAAGTAAAATACCAAAGTAGACATACTTAAAAATAATAAAATTAAACCAAAAACCAAAGGTCAAAAATAAAAAACGAAAGGTCAAAAATAGCTGCGATACACGTAAAAACCAAAATTCGAATGCGACGCGTAGAAAAAAGTTGACAAAATGTTTGCCAACAAACTAAATGGCAACGCAACGCAATCCTGCTGCAAGTCCTGCATGCGGCCAGCAAGAGATAGACATGTGTGCGAAAGGGATTAATTTAATTAGATTATTATTTTAATTTTGTTTCTGCAGTTGTGTTGTTATGCGTCACAGCTCGTCCAGTTAATTAGCAGTTTCAGAGTTGTAGCTGCTAATTATGATGGCAAAATTGTGGGGTTACACGAGGTGAAAAAATTAGGAAACATAATACCAACTATTTGTATACTCAAACTGAGGTTTTAGCGATAATATGATTAATTTTATAATTTATTTTCAAATTGAAGTCTACCATTTATTTCTTGTTAAATTCTTTCAGAACTTATTTATATTTATTTTGTATTTTTAAATGTTTTCATCCAAAACGCATTTTAAACTTCGTATACATAATTGCAGCTCCTTCTACTGCATACAATTAAACGCAGGAAAATTAAGAAAGCTCTAGGCGGTGAAAGAAGTTGGGAAATTTTTTTAGCTGGGATCCAAAAGATAACAAAATTCAAAATTTGGAGACTGTATCTCAAGATTTACGAAATATAATTTAATTAATGAATTTCCATAGCATTTTTAATCGATAACATTAAAACAGGAAATGTTATCGATTATTTGACACAAACGTGCAATAAGGCAGTCTCTAGGTCTCATAGGTTCTGAGTTCAATTCGTTCATTGAAACGGATTTTGTTTATTAAAACAATTTGATCCAAGTCTAAAATATACTATACATACAAATTCGTTGTAAAAAATTTCGTTAGTTTCTTTAAGATCATCTCTTTCCTAATTTACGCCTTTCAGGCAACAACGTTGACCATTTATTAAGTTTACTTGAATTTTAATTTAAATAAAATTAAATTCAAAAAATATTTTATGATGGAAGCAGCTCAGACCCAGCTCAGATATACCCCATTTATTTACAAAATGGAATGAAAAAGTTAGTTAGTTATTTTCGTAGTTTCTATCTCAGCTTTAATTTTGCGCCTTTTTCCGCAACTAATTTTAAGCCCGCGAAAGTATGCTACAGAAAAAGCTACAGTTGACCGCGTCGCTTCTATGTGCATTGGTGTGTCGGTGTGTGTGCGTGCCTGTTAGTGTGTGTTGAAGCTTTACAAGGCCGGCATAAATTTATATATGGCTGACACCTAATGTGCGGCTTAGGCGGTTTTTTTAGATTGTACATTTGCCCAACTTCTGCCTGTTTTGCCAGGCGCAATTAACATGAGCTCCACACACTCACACTCACACAGACGCATACACCTGGACAGTTACGCCCAGAGGCGTGGACGTTTGCGTGGGCTTTTGAAAAGGTCGTCACAGCTGTGGGCAGCATAAAAAGGGCAGCTGCCTTTGAAACATGGCTCGTCTCTATGTTTGTTGACACAAAAAGGTGTTTGCTTAAAGTAGATGACAAAAAAGTGAGCGAAGCGGAGGCAAGGGCCTGGACAGTTGGTACGCCAAAATAGGCACATACAGGTGGTCCGCCAGGTACTGTGGGACACATGGATACTTTAGATGGCAATAAGAAATGTTTTCTTTAGAATTTTAACCCAAAAGGCCACATTGAGAACCTGCACAAAGATAAATAATTATTCTCTTTTCGGAGCTGGACATTTAAGAAGCGAGCATAGGTCTTTTTTAATGACCAAAACTGTAGGCATAAATATAGAAACCTAGCCTAGCTTATATCACTTATAGTATGTCTTACTTATGGTTATTTTTCCGTTTTATACTCTACGAAAAGCCAATTCAGGTCACAAATATTGTATCAGTATCCATTGTATCACAGATTTTTGTATACATCTCTTGCATTTGTGATTTATATTCTTTGTTTTTTCTTTTTTAATTTATAAAATGCACTTTTGTTAGAAATGTTTATTTAATTGCCCACAGTACTCACTGCTCTGCTCTTATGGCTAATCTAGCCTTTGGACAGCGGAGAACTGCAATTGCCTCGTGGTGTCATTTGGCTGCGCGCTCAAATGTCTGCTATAGAAATTTAAATTGCTCTACATTTTTTAAACGCTTTCTATGTAGTGTACTAAGGACCAATTACCTAAAGAATTCTTAAAATACGAGTATTAAACAAATATAATATATATATATATATATATAACTTATATATATATAAAAAAAAAGAGTAGTGAACAAATTACAATTTATTAATTTGCAATATATACAGATATATATATATATATATATATATATATATATATACTGAAACGTATATAATATGGATATATATTAAATATTTACTTAAATACAATTTAGTAGTTATACAAAATTTATATATGCATACGCATAATATAATATATATATATATATATATATATATATATATATATATATATATATATATACGATTTGTAGTCTAGTTTGTTTAGTGGATCAAGCGTTGGCATTATTCGAGTTAAAAATCTTAGTAAATATATATATAAAAAAAGAAAGAAAAAACTATTTTATAATCTTAAGGAATAATTAACTAGATTGTTAGTTTAATGGTATGTAAAATATTTAATAACTGTAATATATATGCACTCTATAAAACTATAAACAGAAAATAACTATACTTTGATATATGATAAATATATTTTATAAACAACTTTTACTCTTAAACAATAACATTTTAATACTCTGTCTTCAGCCTTAAAGAAAAACCAAAAAAACCGAAAAATGAGAGTTACCTAAAAAGATAAAGAAACTCTATATCTGCAGTCTCAGATCGTTTCAATCTAAGCCTAAGTATAAAAAGTATAAACCAACGAAAATAAAAACTATGCACTTGTTAGTTATGTTTAATGTAAATAAGCTTTACAATGGTTACTTAACTTAATTTTTTTGTTAATAGAAAATTTAGCGAAAAAAACCAAAAAACAAAAACCTACTTATGTGATCCAACAATTTCTTCTCTTCCATGAAGCTAAAAAAAAACCAACAAAACAAAAATGCAAAACAATTAATAACTAAATTAATATAAATTTAAACTAATTATGTAATACATTGACTTAATTAGCTGAGATGTTCAATAATTTCGCCAGGCATTTAGCAAAAACAAAAAACAATTAAAATACCAAGAGAAATAAATATATATACATACAATAAACCAAAGCATGAAAGCCACGTAAATTGAATGAGATTTTATTGAATCAAGGCTACTTCATTTTAGATTAATAGATCCCAAAATGTGTTCTAAGCTTAAGAATTATTTTCAGTTTCACTGGAAACAATGGAATTGTTAATATTTATTTTTGCTTTTCTTTTTAAATATTTTTTCTTTGCAAATTCAGGGATTTAACAGTCGGAAAGCGGCATAGCAAACCAGGATAGGATAATATGAATATTTATACTTGATTTGAGACTTCATTTCCATACTTATTCATAATTCAGGAAATTTTCTGCTTGACGGAGATGCATAATTGTTTTACTTATTGTACTATAATGCAGCCTTATTCGCTTAGTGTACTTATAAATCATATTCCCACCTCTGGGGAACAAATTAGAAATGAAATATGACGGCCGACGTACCAAGTGTGCCATTCAATTTGCAATGCCAGCATGTCTGCCGAAATCGAATACCATGAAAAACCCCAACGACTGCAAAATCTGCATAAAACATGTTACCAATTGCAGTCCAAAGCTGACCGTGCTCCGAGCTGTCCTCCATCCCTCTCTCATGGCCAACGAGGCGGCACGCAAATGGCCACAAAATGTTTGCCTGGCATGCGAAGCACCTCTTCCACTTCCCCGCTGCCGCTTCTCTGCCATAAACCAGAGACGTTGTTGGAGAGGGTTCTTCAGTACACCGTATACTGCAAGCAAGCCAAACTTTTGACTTAATTGGCCAATTGTTTCGGCTGGTTCACACAAAAAAGTCTTACATATTTCATAGCGCAAGGCGTCTCAAATTTTTTGAATAGTAATCATTTCATAATACGAAGGAACTGCCCATCGTTTAAAGGGGCGTATCTGCAGCTAATTGCCAAGTCAATGAAGCACACCTTCAGTTTCTTTCACTTTTCGGAGGCGTTGGCAAATGCATACACCTGACCAAGTCCAGAGCCACCAATTAGGCTTAAAATTGTTGGCCACTTAAGCGAAAGCAAAATAGGCGAGGGCACTCAACTAGCTTTGCCAAAACGAAGGTGTTTAAAGGGCTCTTTGACGTTTGAGCGTTGAATTGTTTGTTTATTAAATTTAATTTTCTTACTTATTTCGCATAAAGGATAAACGGTAAAACTATACAACCGAAAAATAATAATTAAAATTATTTAATTTAACTAACTAATAACCAACTTTTAGTTAACAAAATGAAATATAACAATATTTCTAGTCATCTTAAAGCCCGGCATCAGGTACTTGCGCAAGATCCTTAGCTTTATGTTAACCCTAATCCGTAAAGTAACTCAACACGAGATTCGCGTATCTTAATTTATGCAATAGATGGAAATTTATTCTTGTACTTTTACAAAACTTACTTATTTTATAGTGATTCCTTAGGTGTTTTAACACACGCGAGTTTTTTAAATTAAAAAAAAGAAGCACTTGTGCTAAATATGTGCACGACTTGCAAACAGAATTTCCCGCCAGTTAAACGCATTTTTATGAAGCTAATCGTGCTCTGGTTCATTCTGAATTTAATCAGAAATATAGCAGGTTAGAATGTTACTGTCGGGCGCTACCGACTAACTTATACTTGTTCACGGTCTTAAAAAAATTGGTTCGCTTTTGGTAAATCTGACGAGGAAGGGAGTTTGCAGTAGCTCTAACTTTATTCAAGCTCTAACTCTAAATATTTGTTCCCGAGATGCATATATATAACAGTTTTTGGTAAATTAATAGAGAAAGTCAACTTAACTTAACTTAACTTATTCGATTAATTTTGAGGTTCTAAACATAAAACTATAGAAGTGCACGTCCTCACCTGGTGTCGATATGTAATTTTTTACCAATCTTTAGAGATATGGCTACGTTGTCAACATTTTGGGCTATTTATGAGAGCAGGTGAGCTGGAACTCAATAATCAAGTTTCTAGCTCTAAAACTTTCGAAAATATTGAGTTCTTGAAAATGTCTGCTTAATTTATGCACTGTTTGAAATTGACAATCTCATTTGTCTCTCATTTGGTGATTCGTTTAATTTTGGGTTTCGGAGCACACAGCAACATTTGGCTATGGTCCAATGTCAATCAATGAGGACAAGGAAGGGGCTCTACGCATAGTTCACAATTTTTTTGCTGCGAGTTTAATGCTTTACATAAAGACGGTCAGAAACATATACATCGTATATAAATAATTTACATTTCGCATGGTCACGCACGAATGATATGAGGGGGGAGCAGCACAGACAAAAACTGACAATGAGGAGTCTGACGCCGAGCTGCTCCCCCTCAATTGTTCATGATTGGGTCTGGGAACCGGAAGGTTTGGGCTTGGGTCTGGGTCTGGGACTGCATGATGCGTACAAAAGTGACAGTTAAACATGGAAACACACTCAAAATGTTAATTGATATGCAAGGCATAGAGGGGCGTGGCGTTTCAGCGGGCGTTGGGGCATACAGCAAAAGTTTTACTGCCTTTTTTAGGGACAATGAAACTGTTGGTCATGACAGTGAACTTCTCTTTCACTGCTATCAATGCCGTTTCTCCGCATTTCTGTGTGATCAATATGTTCTATATATACAGCTTAAAGGATATGAGGGGGATGCCGCAAACAAAAGTGTGCGAAGTGACACGTATTGACACGTATTAGTCGTTTTGACGTACTACATTGAATTGGGATAATTTCAATTAATTAAAAAATAGATACTTTTATAAGTTTTCCAAAATCGAGAAAGTAATAAAATGAATTATTCATTTTAAATAGTATTAACTATCACTACTATCATCAACTATCAATTGTTCCTTCAAAAATGTTTATTGATGTATCAATCTGAATTTTGAGTCAATTGCTTCATTATTAATTGTCTTAGGATGATAATAGTTTAATCAGGTTGTAATAGATTACTGCGCGCGCTGTTGTCAAATAAGTTTTAGTATTTTCGTCATTAACTGGCACCGTAGAGGCAATTTACTTTTTTAACAAACAGTCACACTGCATGCAAGCAACAAGCAGTTAACCACAACAGCTGTTTCCTATTCTACTGCTTCTTCGTTGTATTAATAGAGATGAGGTTTTTTCTATTCCAAGTATACGGTCACACCGCACACAAGCAGCACGGACTTATTTGTAACAGCTGTTATCTTGTTGTTCTCTTGCTGTACAGGTGTTTTGTTGTCTTTATCACTTGGTCAATGAGAATGAACATTGATGAGTTAAATGACGACTGTCTGTGCATTATCTTGGAGTACCTGCCGCTGCCCGATCAAATTGCCATGGCGCGAAGCTCGTTGCGCTATGAGCAGCTGCTGGGCGAGATTGTGTGGAGAAAAGCTCGTTATCGTGAAGTATCCGTGTCGGATGATATGTTGAAACCACTAAACAAAGAGGATTACATGTTCTTCTTTGAAGTGACGAGCGTCCATATGGAGAAACTGTACATCTGGAATGTACACGAAAAAGCATTCGATTCGTATTTGGGGAGGCATTTGTTGCGACCCGAGCTCGCATTCTATTTGGGATTGAAGCTCACAAATCTGCGCGAGCTGTGCGTCACGGATGACTACATGAACAACAGCATGATACAAATTGTGAGCAAAAGTTGTCCCCATCTACGTAGCTTAAGTGTATCGAGCGCCTACATAACGGGGCAGTTTATGGTCGACCTACATAATTTGAAAACGCTCGTGGCAAGGGAATGCTCCATCGAGGCATCGCACTTGGCTGACCTGCTCACACAGCTGCAGTTAACCACACTGGATGTAACCGCCAATAGATATAATGTAGAGCAAACAATACTACAAGCACCTGTACCTGGACTGTTACGTTTGCAACGTTTGGGCATCTCGGATGCAGAAGACTTCGGCTTTCGCATCGGCGAACAGCTACCGGAGCTGAAAGAGCTAGTCGTAAGCTATCATGGCGCTAAGGCGGAAGATTTGCGAGATATGTTGGACACCACAAGACAATTGGTTGAATCATCCGACTCCAAATTTCCAAAACGCCTGCAATCGATCATGTGCAATGTGGTTGATGTGGAGGTAGCTCTAGAGCAGATTACAGGTCTGGAAACTCGGTGTCCACGTGCCTCTCCACAGTTTTGTGAGCTTTTAAAAATCATTTACAAATGCAAATAGGACATATGTGTAGAATGTTTCTTCTTTGAAGTTATTTTTAAAGATTTGCGATTAGATATTCTAATTTTGGCAAACGACACAAAGCGACGCAAGTACAGTGCAGACTTGCTTAAGTGAACCTTATCTGAGTACAATGATCTGTGCTGATTTATCAGAGATTTGACAAAACGACAATGAAACAAACATTCAAAGAAACTTTTCCAAATTTTTACAAATTTTCCTTATTTTTATAAACAAAAGAAATTACACAATTTTTTTTGTTAGAAATAAACGTTTAATTGATTTAAGTTTTTTTTTTTTGAGATTCCAAGTTGAAGTGCAATTATTTGTATACAAAGACTAAAGTTGTTCTTCGTGATGGCTTTTAAAAGACGAAAAATATTCAATGAAATTTTATTTATTTATTTTATTTATGAATTGTAAATAACCTATTAAACAAAAGGCTTTAAATCACTTTGGTTGATCAAGGTTTCCGCTTAATATTAAACATTTAAGTAACATTTTTATACCCTGAATCCATAGAAAATGGATGTTCAGAGTAAACTCTTGATCAGTAGAACAAGCTTAGTCGATTGACTATGAGATGTATTAGCCGTATGAGGTCTATAAGCTGCAAGATTTGAAATATTGAATCTATTCCGGAGTACCATCACTGTATGAGTCTCTCTCTATGCCAAAATTGGCTAAAAACATATATTTTCCAAATACTAGAGACTCGTATTGTAGCAAATATATATGTATATATTAAGGACAATATCACGCTCTAAAAAAGTATGCGTAGAGCGTGTGCTTATGCGCGTATGTATATGAGGGCAGCTCCTAATCAGGTAGTGCCGACTAGAGCACTCTTCAATGTTTTGAACTAATTTCAATAATCAAAATCTTATTTATATTTAGCATTGACTTCTTATCGCTTCATATTTTTATAGTCTATACTTTAAATGTATAATTCAGTTGAATAATTTCTCATAGTTTCGTTTATCTTTGACCGTTTTTATGGTTTCGAAATTAAAGAATTATTTGAAACTTATTTCCCAATTAAATGAGCTCACATAGTTCAGTTGTAGGATATTTTATCTTCGTTACGCTGAAGATATTATTTTTATTTTGTACGTACAGTTTACAGTCAATGATTAATATGAAAATATTAGTTTGTTTCTTTAATAATATCCATTTGTTATTTGGGTTAATGACAGTAAAAATGAAAATGTTCTTCATTTGTTGAAGCAGAACAAAATTTCAAAGTTGTATGATTAGTGGACTCAAATAGGAGAACATTACGCCGGAGAAAATGCCCGTAACAAGGACAGCAGCGGCAAACATGCCAGCCGTTATTTGATATTTGGCATGAACTGTACCTGGAGCATACATCATACCCAAGGAACTTAAATAGCCCGAACTATAGGACATAATAATCGCAATTAACCAATATACCCATTCATTTGTTATATAAACAGGCAGAGTTCTAACAATGTCCTTCGGTGCATAGTTGCAGAATAGTAGAAGGGGTATAAAAGCAACTCGTAGCACAACTGGAACAACGAGATACTTGGGCTTGGGCCACTGTATCCAAGATGTGGTCAAGCTGCCCAACATCGCGAACACATTAAATGTGAGGAAACAGGTGACCAGTGTGAAATATTTGCTGCCTATGATAAAATCATCTGAGCCCTTAATGTCTGAATGGACAGCGGGAAAAACGGACAGCGTTACAAAAAAGGTGAAAAATACGTTAAAAAGCTGTGGCGAAGCTTTTTTGAATATTTGCCAATAAGGAACATTTAATTGAGATCTCGAGTCCGATTTCTTTTCGTTGTTCAACATTTCGTAATGACGATAGAATTTTGTTAAGGGCAGCGCAAAGTAGGTATCAAAACAGAAAAGTAAAATCAAAATCGCAGTTACAAAATAATATATAGCCGATGTACGCATCGAACTGAAGAACGTGGCACACAGCATTGACATAATCGTGGCAAAGCAACCGCTAATATTTGATCCCAGCACAACTGCACCCGTATACTTAGGAGGCAAAGCTGCAACAAGTCCGTAAATGGTGCTCTGATAAATTCCATTACACTGCAAGAATGAAAACAAATAGCAATTAATTTCATGATAAAAAAAAACATACTTATACTGATTGATGAAAAATTGAGCGAAGTGTAAATACTTATTTCTTATACTAGCTGAACAAGTGGTCAATTCCGCGTAATCGAGTGTTTTGCTTCCATTGAACAAACACAATGCAGCAACGGACACCTGTTACAGTTAAAAAATTCTTTATTGCATTGTTTCGATTTTGAATACGGAGTATTGAAATCTAGCAAAAAGATTGTAATAGAAACAATTAAGTCTATTTATCTTTTATGAGAACCATCATCAGCCAATCTAGCCCTGTCAACCTGTCCGTATGCGTTAACTGGTCAATGTTCCGTGCGAATGTTTGGTATATGTATATATACAAGAAACCTAGAACGGTTGGAACAGCAGCTCTGCCAAAGCTGCATGGTCTACTAGTCGGGCAGTCCCAACTAGAGAAGTCTTATTTTATACTTTGATTTCCATGGTTACATGGTTAATGCTCAAGCCCCAATCGAGTCAAAAGTAAAAATGCTGTTCCAACGCGGCCGTTGTTGTAAATCAATAATATAAAGTGTACTCTATTTAGGTTCAAAAATTTGACTTCTGAAAGTTATACGCATTTAATGACAAAGTTATCATTGCATTATGTGTCATTTACTTACCATGTTTATAAGCACAATTGAGGTCATAGTTGCCCAAAAAAAAACACCGGGCCACTAAAAATAGACATAGACGAATATAGTATTTTAAGGAATTCTTACATTTTTTATATATATATATTGTACGTAAACCATGTGCTCACCTCGAATGAATCCAACATGGCAAGTACTACGGTTATTATAAGGATAACTATTTCGAATAAAATGCTATAAACAATTCGAGTTGTTAGATCACCACCGAAATTAATAAATATGTTTATCCAATTGAAGAGAACATTTGGAATTTGCGATGCAAAGCCCATATTCTGCATAAAGTTTCCACGATAATTAACTTCAGTTTTGACTGTGTAATTTTCACCCAGTTTGAAGTCCTCGAAATATGATTTAGCTGTTATAAACATATTCCAAGGCATTAGCGTGCCTAATCCATGTAGCAAAAAGATGAAAAAGACCAACTTGTATTTGTCAACTGGCGGCTGAAGATTCGAAGCAATTTTCGACATTATCGAGCCAGTTCCTTTGCCTTTGGGATCCGTTTTCATCTGTGACTCCCAAGAGGGATTAAGGGTCACCGGCTGTTTGCCGCCGATGAAAGGCAATTCTTCGCTTTTGCTGGTTACCATTTTGTTTTTTCTTCGGTTGATTGGTTCGAAACTCAGGCGCGGCTCAATTAGCTGTTAATTATTAGTTGCTGGCCTAACAACAGGTTATACGGGTACTCCACCAACGTGTAGGCGGGTACAAAAGTCCAGGGCTCGTTACGTCTGCCTCGGGATCTAGGCAAGAAAAGGCACTCTTCAACTAATAGATTAAAATTGAAAGCGATTATTTATGGAATCTGTCAAAGATAACACTTATTTATATGCACATGTTGACAGTGGCGTGGCTTACACAATTGAAACCATGTATGGTCTTCAGAGTTGCCACCTTTCCCTAACAGAGCGCAAGATTCAAAATCGGCTTTGTTATACAAATAATTGGTTAATGAAAATACGCCCAAGATTGGTAATATTTCAATTAGTTTATTTATTATAATTCGAGAACTTCTGCAAAATAATATAAATAGTGTTATTAATATTAAATGATTCTGATCTAGGCTTAATTTAACTAAATTAATTTTTATTATGTTGACAAAAAAGCAAAGCAGATCATTAAAATTAGAAAAAAGAATCAATTCATTGCAAAAACAAATCCCTATCATCCCTTCATCTTATCGATTATTATTGTATTGCTATCGATAATTACTGCGTCCTCTTTTTATAATAAACAGCGTGCTTACCTGTTGTGTTTGCATTTATTAAATAGGTTTGGTCGCAATGGCGGTAATTCAGTTGGGCGATTATATTGTCATACAGAGGCAAAAGTATACAAAATTGCAAAAATTTGGAAGTCTCGATGCGACAGCTACATTAGGCAAGGAGCATTTAGAGTTGAAATCTCTTCTGGATCAACCATACGACTCGACATTTAAGATGTGTGTTAAAGAGTCCAAGGCGGGCAAACGTGGCGCACAGCGACAGCACAGCCTTGAGCTTTGTAGCGAAAATGAATTAAGAAGTATAAGAGACGTGCTAAATATTTCTAGCAGTGGAGCCGACAATCGGGATATTAGCGACAATGGCGAGGCACAAGCGCTGAAATCATCGGTAGGTGGGGAACAAAAGAAACTTAGATCCTTTTTAATTGGATTTTACTGTCACAGGACATCGAGCAGATGCGTGAAGCATGCAACGAGTCAAGCAAGATCATTGAGAAGCTAGTGGAGAACTCGAAAACGTTTCATACCCGTACCGAATACTCGCAGGACAAATATCTACTAAAGAAAGAAAAAAAGTATTTTGAGTTTGTGCAAATTCGTCAGCCCACCATACGTCTAATGGTCGACATATTCCATCGGCAGGATGCAGATAAAATAATGGGCATACGTGTGGATACACTCTCACAAATTATATCATATTCAGGCATATCTGGATTTGGCAGCTATCTGTTGTACGAGAGCGGCACGAATGGGCTCCTTCCTGCAGCCATGCTTAATTCTATGGGCGCTGCCACAGATTCCACGCTGGTTCATATGCATCCAGGCAATGTGCCACAGAAGCAAGCTGTACTGGCTCTAAAATTGCCTCTCGAACAGCAACAACGGTGCATCTCTGTTAACTTGTACTCAGTACTGCGTGAATTCTATCAAGGCGACAAGCTAGAAACAGTGGAGGTCACGGAGGAGTCAGTAAAGACTGAAGACAACGCAATAGAACAGAGCGAAGATATTGAGCCAAGCAGCAAAAAATTTAAATTGGATGAGTCTCGCAACTGTAAGTAATCTATATCTAGCTTATTGAATAATTTTCCATGAATGATCATTGCTTTAACTTACCCTACCCTATAGTTTTAAGTTCTCATCATCGCCATCTATGATGGATAGCTGCTTACCATCAGATTTTCAATCAAAAAGTCTTTTCTTTTATAATCGAATGCATTCTGTACCCTTAAAGCTGTAAGCTATCTATCTGAGCAACAGATTGACTGATCTTCAACCCTAAAGAAGCTTCTTTGTACTTAAATGAGTGTGCCCTCCCTCTTCTTCTTCACAGTAAGTAAAGGACCTCCGCGCTGGCAGCTGGAAAATAAACGCGCTGCCACTCTGATGAATGACAAATTCGATAGTCTAGTAATGGCTGCCAAGGAGCATCCTTCGAGTATATTGCAAGCTTTGTTGCCACTTATAAAACCATCGCGACCGATTGTCATCTTTAGCACATGCAAGGAGCTGCTCCAAGAAACGTACATGGAGCTAAAGGCAACGGGCAAAGTGACAAATCTACATCTAACCTCCAACTGGATGCGTACATATCAAATACTGCCCAATCGCACCCATCCGGAGGTCAACATGAGCGGTAATAGTGGCTATCTGTTGACGGGCTACACGCTAAAATAGCAGGTGATATCAGGAAGGTCAAGTAGGATCATTTAAGTCCACGAAAGAGGTGGAGAAAGGATATGGATATGATCCAGTGTACGTATTCCTATGTTTGCCTTAGATAAATGAATATCTAAACGAATGTTTTGTTTAAGTCAGAAAAGAACTGTACAGTCGGCAGGAAATGTAATATTTTGTCTAAAATATATCAAATCTATGCTCGAGAACACTTTTTAAAATATATTCTCTTACAATCTAGCTTTAAGGACAAATATGATAATTGTATTTTCAATAGAAGATAAAATCCAATAAAACTTAAACATTTGTACGATATTTTTGTTTTTCTTATTGTTTAAAGATTGTAAATACAGATTACAAAAAAAAAACAAGTAAGAAAGCTCTTGTCGGGGTGCCCGACTAGGAGATACCCTGATCCCAGTCCTTTGAGTTTTGTAATATTTTCCGTAGTTTGTATCGAGTATTAAAAAAAAAAAAAGAAAACAAATAAAAATCGACATTGCGAGACCAGGATTCGAACCCGGATTATTTGCGGAACGAGCACAAACTGCCAACACCGCCACTTCGTAACTAAAAAAAAAAAAAATAAAACAATAAAAAACCTTTTATCTCCACTAGTCTCGAACCCGGACCAAGCTGCAATCGCAATTTCAATTATTGGAATAGAAAAGAATACACGCATTTGAATGTATGTGTGCACACGCATAGGAAAAATGAGTGCGCGTGGCGCTGCTGACATGTGCTTTTGCAAATTGGCCAAACGTTTTGTTTAATAACTTCTGTTTTACTTAATGGATTTTAATGAAATTTTCAGCATATGATCTACATATCCTATTGGCTTGGTTGAGATGCAAACGCCTTCACATAATGGCCCTAGTTCCAACTAAACTTAAATTCTAAGAATTTGGGGGAATTTGGAGCCGGCATCCAAAATCTAACAAAAATCAAAATTGCATAAAATATACATAAGACTAAATACAAGGCTCTAGCTCTTAACAATTAAATGCGAATAGTTAGCAAATAATGGAAACAAACTTGACCTGCGCGTGCTATACACGGACCTACAAGTCTTTAGCTCTTATAGATGCTGAGATCCACGCGTTCACACATACGGACAGATGGACGGACAGACAGACGGACAGGGCTCAATCGACTCGGCTTGTCGTCCTGATCAGGAATATATATACTTTATGGGGTCTGCCACGCCTCCTTCTGAATGTTACATACATTTGCACAAAACCATTATACCCTGATTTCCCATTTTTAATGGGATCAGGGTATAAAAATAAATAAATGCGGCCGCAGCCGGTTTAAGGATATAACGATATATCGTTTTAAAATGTAATATAATAATAATAAAACATAATTCTGTATAGGAGATCAACTAAGATCAGCAAGATCTGTTAAGCTCAGAAGATCCTATAAAACATCAAACGCTTGAAGTTTTGTTGATTGAACCTAGCAAACACAAAGTAGGGTTGGGTCCTAATGAACAAATTTTATGTATTGAAAAAATTGGTTCTAGATGTCCATTCTATATGTTGAATGGTTAGTGGTTTAATCTAAAAATTGTTTCAAGGTAACTCATATATCCAATTCACTATGTAAAACTGGTGAATATACATTTTTCCTAGTTGTTCGCTCCCCCAATGTACTCTAAGTATTTTAGTGTATATAATTTATCATAGTGCTGAAAATAGCATTGCAATTTTCAATATGGAATAATGGAATGTGGACCAAATGGATTGTATCCACCAGATGTAAACTGCAATAATCAATATAGTCAGAGATGCTCGAAGAGAGCGAGAGAGCAGTAAAAAAAGTCAAATAAAAACCGGTAGAAGCAACGCGCATCATCTCGGCCAACACCGCCACATCATTCACAATGGGTTAAGGATATAAGGAGATATTTATACAGTTTACCAATTGGAAAACAAAAATGAATAATTAATTGCAACGCTATTTGTTAGATGTTATTAAAAGCAAGTAACCATACAACATATGAAATGGATGTCTATAACAAACTTTTTCAACACATAAATTTGAGCATTTTATCCCACAAACAACTTCGAATTTGCTGAACAAAAAAATAGGCGGTCAATATCAGTGCGCTTCGAGGGATCAACTGATGTGGTCGATGAAGTGAAATTGAATTCATAAGACTCGGCCGCACAAAATTGAACGTAAACAAATCGAACGAGACTGCATGAGGCATGAGATTATCAAGTAAGAAAACTCTTGACGGGATGCCCGACTAGGAGATACCATGAATCCAGTCCTATCTGACTTGTTTAATATTTTGCATAGCTTGTTTTGGAACATAAAAACCGTCGTTAGGAGACCAAGACTTGAATTGCGCTTCTTCGAATAGGAAAGAATACTCGCATTTGAATGGATGCGTGATTTATAGGACAAATTCTGACGCTTTCCACGTGCTTTTTCAGTGGTCAACGGTTTTGTTATTATATTATAAGCCTGTGTACTATATATTATACACCTAAAGCATATTCTACTCCGAATTATATGGTTTCAGGGGATATCCTTCCGAATCATGTGAGCACAATTTTATGAACAGAGTAAGAAACGTAAGGACTATGCTTTTATCAATAGTCGCATCTAAATACAAGATAAGCATGAATATAATTTTATTTGACTTTACAGGTGCGTAGAAATTGTTAGTTCTTTCATATACAATTTCCTTCTAGAATTCCTACTAGAATCCAAATTACCAGAAATAGATTCTTTGATCATTTCCCCTAAGCTCTTAAGCATACATTTAACTAGATTGACGGTATTGCCCTTGTGGTGGTAGATATTAAAACTGCCCGTGGGTCATGACTCTTCTATAATTTGTTATTTGACGTTTTTGTGATTGTCCTGTGGGGTTGATTCCCTTGATTTGTGGTTGCTGCGCTGAGCCCAGAGCCGGTCACTTCACTCTGCTGTCATCAAACCTTACAAATTTCGTAACATACTTTCGCGCGAGACATTTATTCCATGATGGTCTGATTTCAAATGGAAGGCAATCGTTGAAAATTCAAGAGGAAAAGCGTTGTTATAAAAGAGAGGAAAATCCCATACAAAGTTGCTCACTCAATTAATCCACACAAGGGTCACACAATTAAACATAAGACAAGTCAACTAAAACTGTTTAGTTGAATGGTTTTCATGAAAACCTACATTAAATTAAATATCTTTCGAATTAGTTTTATTTTTGGAATTTAGTTTTGTGTGTGGTCTATACAGTTTTGATTAGTTATTTTAATATTCCAAATAGTAACCGACTTTTTATCTTTAGTTATTTATTAACCAAGAACAAGAGTACGGAAGGGATACAGATATCCTGCGAGTTTCGTTTGTTTTTAAGGATCAGACTAGGTAATCCTATTTTCAGTCAGCCTAAATTATATTAATTCCTTTCGTTTTTTAATTTCTGATAATATCATGCAATGTTTTATGAATACTTTTTCGGGTATTGCTATAAATGGTTGAGAGAATCAGTTCAATATAATTGTGAAGTGTGAACATGTGCAGGTGTGACCACGTAAGGTAAGTATGTGTGTGCAGAAATGAGCATCTATTCAAGTGTGTAAGTAGATACAGCGCCCCATTTAAGTTATTTGCAATCAAGTTTCAAACAGCAGGCACATTCTTGAGGACAAAATAATGTCCGCACTCGCAGCGCTTGGGTGCGCCCTTCTCTAGCCACATCCACTTCGCACCGCGATCTCCGAGACAGAGGCAGCCGACGAGACGGCCATCGAAGGCGGATGGCACCTCCGTGGGATCGTTCTCTCTGCCGGCACCTCGTTTCATGGGTTTCTTCATAGCCCACGGATCGAGGCAGCCTGCTCGACGCAGCATCAATTCACGCTTAAAGATGCCCGTGGCCAGCTCCATGTCATCCGTTAGCTCTGTGCCAATCGAGAGAATCCATTAAGACTAGCTGCAGCACCATACCTGCCCTACTTACGCTTGTTACATACCGGCGTGGTCGAAATGCCGCGATTCACCACGCCTACTGATCCGCCTCCGAATTCCTTGATCCCAAGGGCTCCCAGCATGCGCTGCCAGCCAAGCACACGGAGCATTGTGCCCAGCTTCCCTTCGCCGGGCCTCGTGAGCTGCGATACGAGACGCTTCGATGCGAACGGCGATTTCAGAAGGCGCGAGATGAAAGACGACATTCTAACCTTGTATACAGATTTATCTATATATAATGCACATATATATATTTATATAAGTGTGTGTATTTATAATTTTTTTTACTTTTTATGAAAATAAATATGTATATACGCTTGTAGCTCAATGTAACATTCGCTTCCCTTGCGAAGTTAATATTGAATGAGCTTTCAGCTGACAAAGTTGAAAAGGTCTTAGAAATATGGTTGGCCTACTTCGATAGAATCCAATCGAGACACGAAATCTGATTGGCTGATTTAACATTCTACTTATTTTAGTAAATACACACGCCAGTCCTAAGAGTCGAAATATATATATCAAAGAGACACGATCCACAGTTGTAGACAATGTTAAAGCAGTTGATAGTTTTAATATTTGTTTAAATGTAATTTATTTAAACGTTTTTTACACGTTTCTCGGTTGCAATCAGCGTGCTCCACCAAAACGTAAATAAAAGCTTAAGCCAGACGCGACGCATTTGGTTTCGGTTTTTGTTTCTATTTTGGTTTTTGGATTGATGTTTGTTTTTATTTGGAAAGCTATTTTGTTGACTTTTAGCTTAATAGTGGTTGTTGTTTTTGTGTGTTGTTTTTTGTTATTAATTGGTTTATTTAATTAATTAATAATAACTTTAAACAGCTGCCTTCTCGACCAACTTGAACCAGTGGCCGCACTCACAACGTTTCTGATTGCCCTTCTGCAGCCACATCCACTGCACGTAGGTCTGATCCTCTTCGCCTGAAAGTTAAGAAAGGGTATATTACTTTATCGAGGTAGCGTGTGAAGTCTACTCACAGATGCAGCCAACAATGCGAGCATCGAAAGCCGATGGAATCAGATTGGGGTTCTCCTTAGTGCCAGCACCACGCTTGAACACCTTCATGTCGAAAGGATTATCGTTGCCGGCCGCCTTCAACAGCAGTTCACGTTTCTCAATACCTGTGGCGTGCTCCAGGGGATCGTTCATCACTACGAGAAAAGAACAGTTAGTTAAATTTTCATAAGATTCCAATGGGTTGCTAATCGCTTTAGCCTACTGGCTAAATATATATATTATTATTTTATTGTCTATTGGTTTGATGCAGAGTTAGATCATTTAACAGTACTTTACAGCGCTTTCCTACTGTAGCCCTTTTATATATGATATCCATATAGTGGCTACTTCACCTTCGATCACTCACAATGTTTTATTGTTATAGCCCCTATACTCCGCCCCTGGTCGCATTAACCGCTTGCTGAATCAGCTGTCTGTGCACATTGATTATATAAAAGCTCACATAGAAAGCCTCAACTCCTTCGACATTCACGCATACACATACACTACTTTCAATTATCATTGTATTAGTATACTAGCGATAACACGGCGAGGTGCGAATTACGACTTTTGCGTTTTCCTTTGGCTTAGCATAATAACATTTGCACTGGGCGCAGCTATTACATAACCTCCAGCATAGATTGACATAGTTTTTGGTCATTAGAAATGTGGCAAAAACCTGGTTGCACTCACAGCAGGCTTTGCATTGCCTTTGATTTATTTCCCTATTATGTAATATGGATGATGCAGGCGCTGCCTTGGTAGCGTTTCCTCTGCCACACGGAAAAGGCGAACGTGACAATTGATTTGCGCCTTTTTCCTACTTACTTTTGCAGGTACGCACGGAGTTGTATGTCACATTTTGGCGTGCGGCGGCACGAAGCGCCATGCGTCCACAGATTGATGCCATTATTGTTCGTTAAGCAAAGATTTGTTGGTCTTGGGAAGCGTTGAACAGCCGAATTCTTTCGTAATTTTTCACAGCGAGACTCAGGGCAGGTGTTGATTCGTGAGTGGTATACGCTAGTTCGCAACTGGTTCGATCAACGAATCAATTTCAAACCACTATCGAACTAGTGTTGCGCAATTTTGCGCACGACTGCGCAGCGTTGCCAGATGTTCCGATATACTAGCTATGCCGCGAAAGTGGCGGTCTAAGCACAGTTAATTGAATAAAACTCCGACACTTTTCTGATTTTTGTGCTAAAATTGTATGCAAAGGCGACTTAAGTGTTTTATATTAAGTATCCAGTATATAATTTAATAAGTAATATGTTCACTAAAGTTTTATATAGCTAACCGCAGTGTGATTATTTGTGGGTGTTGTGCCAGATGTTGCTTGGTAACCAAAAAGCGTTGAAAAATATCTTATGAAAGTTTAAGTTAAAAAAGTAGAAAAAAATGTCTAATAAGCCCACAATTTGCTTTGATATATCAAAAAATGAACGTTTTCAAATAACAGACAATTACAAAATGTTGCATCGCAAGCTAAAGGCTAATTGGAATGTGGAACAGTAAGAGGCATTAAACTGATTGATTAGATATTTGCAGATATATCATATATATTACTTAGAAACGAAGTTGACCTGAACAAGGAGTGCTTGGCACGCACAAAGATTTTTGTGCTGGCTGGCCCGCAGGATCGGTTCACCGAGGAGGAGTTCGAGGTGCTCAAAGACTATGTGGAACAATCGGCAGGCAGTTTGCTGGTACTGCTCGGCGAAGGAGGTGAACAGGAGTTCAACACGAATGTCAACTTCTTTTTGGAACAATACGGCATCTATATCAACAGCGATAATGTAGTGCGTCCGCATTACTACAAAAACTTCCATCCCAAAGAGTGCATCGTGGGTGGCGGCGTTGTCTGCGAGTCGATGTGGCGACAGCTGCTCAAACGGGACATCGAGAAGGTGGATTATGATTTCAGTGATGAGAAGTACAAGATACACTTTCAATATCCCTATGGTGCTACTCTAAATGTTTCGGAGCCAGCAAACGTGCTGTTGACCACGGGACCCGTTGTCTATCCCTTCAATCGTCCTTTGGCCGGTTACTATAGCAATGCCAAGGGTGGCAAGATATTGGCCCTGGGCTCCGGCTATATATGGCATGATAAGTACTTGCAGGATAAAACGAACGATGCTATGCTGGAGTATATGCTCCAACTACTGGGCACCGAAGAGATAAACTATACGCACTTGGACTTTAATGATGTGGAGGTTTGTACTTCTCATATACCCGGTGTTCAGAAATGAAAGGGATATGATATGTTCGTGTAGGCAAATGTTACTGGTATATAGCATACGTTAGCTACAGCAGCAGAGCTTGATTTATCACAAAGATTATAAACAAATGTTTTCCTGATTACATTTGAAATGAGCTTAAAACTAGGCATGATGATCTGGAGAACTTTTTTGGTTTTTATACAAATATTTGAATAAGTATTAACATCCAAAAGGTTCGATATTATTGACAGATCACTTGGTATTATAAATAATTCAATAAATATTTACAAATTTGGATTTTATAGGAATTAGAGGTAGGTACAATGTAGGTACTAGACTTGAAAGGGAGTTGGTAAAGGATAGTAGATAGTAATATTAGGTAGCAACTATTTAATCTGTATCGACAGTCGATTTATTCGAGAAGGTCCATCGCGTGGAATACAAGATTTAGAGGCATCTTGTACACCACATGGTATATGCTCAGATCAATATAATTCCTAATTTATTTTCTTCGATAGTTTTTGGATATATTCGTAAGCTTTAGCTGTACTATACTACATTACTTGTTCTCGTATTAGACACTATTTGAAGTCTGATCCCTTCCTTTCCCATAGCTAAACGACAACAAACACTTCACGGACTTGGCTTTTCTCGCCGACATGCCTAAGGCGTGTTTGATCGACTCCATAGGCACGGAGATGCCCGCGGATTTTAAGGAAATGTTTGACATGTCCCTCTGCTCGCTGAGCAATCGCCTGTTGAAGGATGTGATCGATACCTATGCCCAGTTGCACGTAAACTATGAGCCGTTGCGCATAATTAAACCACAGTTTGAAATACCATTACCAGCATTGCAATTGGCCACATTTCCGCCAATATTCAGTGAGCCACCGGCGCCGCCTCTCGAGCTGTTCGATCTGGACGAAACGTTCAGTCCAGCTCGTTCGCAGCTTGCACAGATAACAGGGCAATGTTTGCAGGCCCTGCGCTCCAAAGAGCCGGCACGTCGAGCGCCCAATCAGCGCGAGCTGGAGAACTACGTGAAGGAGTGTGCACGCATCACGGCTATCATCAGGGAACAGCAGGAGATGCCCGCCCGCGAAATACTCAATATTGTGGCACGCCAGATCAGCAGCTATGCACCCTATGCTGAGGACTAAATCCCCAACAGGTGCTCCAATTACTATAATTTGCAAACAATGCGCATTCCATGCAGCCAATCTCTGTTCTTCAAAACACTTGAAGAGGGTATTCCGAATGTATGATGATTTGTGTAACAGCTAGCAGTCTTGTGAGGAATATTTGGAGAAGTCATTAACATTTTTAAATTGTTTTGAAAATAGCTTAAAAACGTGGAATTTTTAATATTTTTATAATAAAATAGTATACTATATAATATATATATAAGAGGAAGATTTATAGTCATTTTTATTATTTTTGTTAAATTGAATGTGTGTATTATTTCTCTAAGATCGTATAAAACAGTATCCCATGTTTGGGTATAAACTTTTTTAACTAACTTAACTTATAATTTATATGTCATAGTCGCTCAGATGAGATCATTAGCGAATTCAAAGCACAATTGCTAAATGCCTGAGTTGGAAAGCACGATTTATAATGCCTTCTTTTCCATCTAGAAAATGTCATTTATGTAAATATCATTTATGTATCATCTATGTAAATACACATAAATGTGTATATGTAGAGTGAAGAGTTAAATCAATGGCTGGCATGAAGAGAGGAAGGAAGTTGAGAACCATTTTAGGTTCTACTAGTTTTGTAGTATATTTAAAAATGATTACAAGTACAGTATCATATGGCTATGATATATAACGTAATTAGCAAGTGGTTTTACTCTAGTCTAGTCCTTATTTAATTATTATCATATATCGGCAGTGCATTCAATATTCGAGTTCCAAATGTTATAACTTTTTGTTCTTTATTTAATTTGCCTTTTGTCGAAATCAGCAAAAATTGTGCATTTTGTTTGAGGAGTTTTTTTAGTCAAATTGTAAACCAAGTCCATTTTATGTAAACATGTTGGCGACTCGTATTCAAACATGGCCGGCGTTCTCCCTACACGCTATCCCCAATGCCCCCGCCTTGCCGTCTCCCCAGCTTGCTCGAAAAGTTTGCTTCAATTACGCAGAAGGTGCAGAACATTTTTGGTCCGTAACACAAAACCTGTGGGAAGTAAAGCTATATACTTACCAAAATGCACATTATATTTATAACCAAAAAATTATTGTTTACTGCACTTAATTATTTTTATTAATATTCCCACAAATGCGAGGGATGGGGGAGGGGATGGACTTCTATTCCCTATGGGAGCCTAGTTGTTCAGTTTTTAGGTGGCAACAATTTGTTTTTCGTTTTTGAGAAGGGGCGCCAATTGTGTTGTAGGCGATCGCAGGGGTGTGTGAGCGTGTGTGAAGTGTGTGAAACCGCTAGTTAATGCTTGTCACAACAAATGCCTGTCATCAATCGCTGCTCTGCGTGCTCCAGGGAGCTGCCACATAAAAATACAGCGCAACTGTTTGCTAGAAAATATCCTGTTAACAAAAAACTCTGCAACTGCAACTGGCGCTTGTAAATTTAGTTCTAGTATGAAGGAAATTAAAAAAAAAGAATTCTCTGGAGCTTTCGCTCCTCTCGAGCAGCTGCAGCTAACACCAACTCGCTTGATTTCGTATCCTGATTTTTTTAAATAAAAATAATAGATTTCAAATATAATTTCTTATTATGGTGTTTAAACTTTATTCAAAAATGTTTGAGGCAGGTCTGCCTGTATCTTTTGATTTCAGTTCGCTTCAATGATTATTCTGCTCAGTTGCATCTCTTGTTACTGCTAGTACATATGCGTATGCTCTCGTCGGTTAGGATAGACCCTGCAGCCTTCTCGGAGCTGCCTTGCAATCATTCTCATTTCCTTCATACATACGTAAGATACAAGGAATTATGACCTATCAAGTTTAAACCTACTCCAGCCCTCACTAGACGCATAGCTAAAGTAGTTGGATTTACTGCTTGATCCGTGCGCGACGATAGCTACCATAGTTGATTACTATTTGCCGCCATTCCGAAGTTATTGCGATACTTATCGGCTACAAATTTTCTTATATATATATTTTCTTATATATGAAAATATTTAATATTTTCTTATATATATATATGATTGTTCTATTGATCTGTATGTCAGCAAGGGACAAGGGAATCTTTGGTCGCGCCTTCTATGCTCCATACTTTGTCTGCAGTTTTGGTTTGTCAATCAATCAATCAACATTGAAAGCTCCCACCAGCCTTGGCTTGTTTAATTCCATAGTCCATGGCCCCCATTTGGCGGCCATTTTGTTGACCGCTAAATGTTGTACAAGGCTTATATATATATATATATATATATATGTGTGTGTGTGTGTGTGTGTATGTGGGTGGCACTGAAGGAGGAGGGGAACTTTTGTTAGCAGTAAGCTGCAAGTAAAGAGTATGAAGAAGTTATATTGAAATTCGACCTGAGCCAAGTAGGAAGTTACCTTGAGTGCATTTCTACATATTGACAGTGACAATGCTGTCCAAGACAACGTTGTTGTTGTTGTTGTTGTTGGCGGTTGTTCATTCATGGTTTCAGTGCGGCAAACAGGTTCACAGGCTCAACAGAAGCCGCACAAGTTTTTCCTGCCATTCGCTGTCGCTTCTTTCACTTTAAACAGAAATAAATGAAAGCAAAGTAAAGAGAAAAACATGAAAATTCAACTGCATATGCTCGTACCTCAGTCCATTTGCCAATGTCTGAACAGCTGTATTTGTTGTACTTCCGCTGCTACTTCGGCTGCCCACGTCCCTTCACTTCGTGCAAATATCATAGGAAAGTCAAGAGGCTTGTTTGACTTTTGGTCGGCATCCTTTTAGCAGCTGTGATTGCCGACTGTCTGGCGAGTTGATCGGCCCTTATTAATTATACAGTTACTAACAAAAGTTGTCACACACACACACACACAGACACAAGCACACATTTGTCACCTGTGCGCTGAAAATTCGGGGAAAACCCCCATGAAAAGCGTGCCCTGATGCGGGTCGCGGACGAACATCATTTTAATTAAATTACACCACCAAAACGTGCGACATCACAATAATTTTCATTGTCAAAAATTGGGCATCATAAAAAACCACACGTCTGCATCGTATATCCAACAGATACACCAACAACAGCTATCACAAAAGCCAACAACAACGACAAAAACAACAAGCTGCATCTATTGTGGGAGCGAAAGAGCTAGAGGAACACACACACACACACACACACTCTCACGCACATTGAAAGAGAATGTAACAATCAATTAACAGGTAAACGGCCTCAAGCATCCAACATAAATATTTCATTTAACCCTTAAGTGATCAATGTGTTGTTGTATAAACTCGAGTGTTAAGCCTAATCTGAGTATAGTCTTATCATTTAGAATATGTTTTATGTAAAGTTAATTAAAATGAGCTACTAAACTTTAATAGTATTCTATAGGTAATTAATATATACTTATAATTAATATATACTTATACTTATTAATATATATCTGCAGTGCAGTTTATGATTGACGTTTCTTTGGTGTAAATTAACGATATGCTCTATGGAGCTGTTCATCTATAGATCCAATAATATTTATCGTTGATGAGCTGCTGAATTCAGAAAAGTGAACTAGTTCAAGAAATTTAAACGCTGCAAGTTATTTTATTTTCACTAGGCATATTATTACATGTCCTAGACCTACCCCACAGAAATAGATAAATATGTAAAGTAGATAAATATATGGATTGATCTCATTGGAGTCCAAGCCATCCGGTTACGTAATATTATTGTTAACAAATTTGTTTATTGTCTAGTATAAGACAGATTGCAAATAATAACAGCAATTAAAAAAAAAAAAACTAGGCATATTACGATAGACTTAGGTTTTCAAAGTGACTCGATGATGTCTCATGTCTATGTCTCTATAAAAGTCAGCCCAGGCTTATTCACAGAGCACAGAACAGCGGCCTTGGTCTGCGGACCTCGACTTCACTCCCATGAATCAGTCTTTAGGAATTTGCAATGATTATAGAGCTTATAATCTGTAAAGCACATTTATTTAAGACAACATGAGAATTTTAAATAGTCAGTGCTAAGAGCGTTAGTCATACGCAAGACATTTCAAAAGACTACGAATGGGTTAAGCATATATCTATCTATAAACAAGTAAGAAAGCTCTAGTCGGGGTGCCCGACTAGGAGATACCCTGATCCCAGTCCTCTGAGTTTTTTTTAAATTTTCCGTAGTTTGTATCGAGTATTCAAAAAAAAAAGAAAACAAATAAAAATCGACATTGCGAGACCAGGATTCGAACCCGGATTATTTGCGCAACGTGCACAAACTCTACCAACACCGCCACTTCATAACTAAAAAAAAAAATAGAACAATAAAAACATTTCATCTCCACTGGTCTCGAACCCGGCCCAAGCTGCATACGAGCGGCGTCTCTACCAACGCAGCCACTTCCCTTCTTATGCGAGATGTTGCAAATTTGAACATAAGTAGCAGCTAATAATTCAGCACAATTCAATCGCAATTTCAATTCTTGGAATAGAAAAGAATGCACGCATTTGAATGTATGTGTGCACACGCATAGGAAAAATGCGTGCGCGTGGCGCTGCTGACATGTGCTTTTGCAAATTGGCCAAACGTTTTGTTTAATAACTTCTGTTTCACTTAATGGATTTTAATGAAATTTTCAGCATATGATCTACATATCCTATTGGCTTGGTTGAGATGCAAACGCCTTCACATAATGGCCCTAGTTCCAACTAAACTTAAATTCTAAGAATTTGGGGGAATTTGGAGCCGGTATCCAAAATCCAACAAAAATCAAAATTGCATAAAATATACATAAGACTAAATACAAAATTTGGAAGCTCTAGCTCTTAAGACGTTCGAGATATAATTTATTTACTGCATTTCAATAATGTTTTTATTCGATAACAATTAAATGCGAATAGTTATCGAATATTTGAAACAAACTTGACCTGCGCGTGCTATACACGGACCTACAAAAAAAATTTCAAGTCTCTAGCTCTTATAGATGCTGAGATCCACGCGTTCACACATACGGACAGACGGACAGACGGACAGACGGACAGACGGACAGACGGACAGACAGACAGACGGACAGGGCTCAATCGACTCGGCTTGTCGTCCTGATCAAGAATATATATACTTTATGGGGTCTGCCACGCCTCCTTCTGCCTGTTACATACATTTGCACAAAACCATTATACCCTGATTTCCCATTTTTAATGGGATCAGGGTATAAAAATAGAACAATAAAAACATTTCATCTCCACTGGTCTCGAACCCGGCCCAAGCTGCATACGAGCGGCGTCTCTACCAACGCAGCCACTTCCCTTCTTATGCGAGATGTTGCAAATTTGAACATAAGTAGCAGCTAATAATTCAGCACAATTCAATCGCAATTTCAATTCTTGGAATAGAAAAGAATGCACGCATTTGAATGTATGTGTGCACACGCATAGGAAAAATGCGTGCGCGTGGCGCTGCTGACATGTGCTTTTGCAAATTGGCCAAACGTTTTGTTTAATAACTTCTGTTTCACTTAATGGATTTTAATGAAATTTTCAGCATATGATCTACATATCCTATTGGCTTGGTTGAGATGCAAACGCCTTCACATAATGGCCCTAGTTCCAACTAAACTTAAATTCTAAGAATTTGGGGGAATTTGGAGCCGGTATCCAAAATCCAACAAAAATCAAAATTGCATAAAATATACATAAGACTAAATACAAAATTTGGAAGCTCTAGCTCTTAAGACGTTCGAGATATAATTTATTTACTGCATTTCAATAATGTTTTTATTCGATAACAATTAAATGCGAATAGTTATCGAATATTTGAAACAAACTTGACCTGCGCGTGCTATACACGGACCTACAAAAAAAATTTCAAGTCTCTAGCTCTTATAGATGCTGAGATCCACGCGTTCACACATACGGACAGACGGACAGACGGACAGACGGACAGACGGACAGACGGACAGACGGACAGACAGACAGACGGACAGGGCTCAATCGACTCGGCTTGTCGTCCTGATCAAGAATATATATACTTTATGGGGTCTGCCACGCCTCCTTCTGCCTGTTACATACATTTGCACAAAACCATTATACCCTGATTTCCCATTTTTAATGGGATCAGGGTATAAAAATGTCGTGCTAATGATCAGTAGAGTGTAATAGAAGTTGTGGTCGAACTGCAATCACTTGATCAATCAATTAGTAAAATTTAAATTAATATATATTTAAAAATGTCAAGTTCATACTTTTTTAAATACTTATAAAACTGAATTTTATTTTAAAAATATAAAATGCGACCAGAATTGGTCAATAGAAAAGGTGTAGTGTTCCACCAGGAAGTTTGATAACTCGCCAAAAGCTATTGCAGCTGGAATGAGATGTGCTAACTTACCCACCATATACTTCAGACTTGGCACCTTCGGACTATTACTTGTTGCGGTCTCTGCAGAATTTTTTGGATGGTACAACCTTCACCTCGAATCAGGACTTAAAAAACCAATTGAACCAGTTTTTTACCAGCAAGGATCAAAAATTGTATGAGCGTGGAATCAATCTCTTGCCTGAAAGATGGCAAAAGGTATTAGAGAAAAATGGAGAATACAGCATTTCATAAAATGTTATATAATATAAAAAAATCGGGTTTGAATTGCACTAAAAAAACGAAAATACTTAGTGAACCACACAATATATTCCGCATTGTAAAGTTGTTACCTTGTAAACATACTTAAGCTGCACACTGGCGCACACACAAGGGTTAAAGAGCCGTTGACCCAGGTCTTTCCATCTCTCTCTCTCACTCTATCTCTTGGCACGCTTCGATATCAACTTTAGCTGTTGCTGTTTCAGCTGTCTTGCGAGCGGCTTATGGGAACATTGTTAACCCATTATTGAAATAGAAAGCTTGTCTATTTTATTGGTTTTTTCGGTGATTGTTATTAATTTGTCATAAGGCCGCGACACGCTCTAATGATGCATGTAAATGCAAAACAAATGACCAACCCAGCCCAGCCCAGTCCTGACCAGATTCAGCTACAAGTCCAGTGACCAGCGAGCAGCGAACCAGATTTGACCATTTGAAAAATAAATTTAAAAGCGCGTGTACAATTTAAAATGAAATAAAATCAGAGTGTTGTAGCTTTCGAAACTTTATGAGCATGTTGTGCTTATTAGCTGCAGTGCGAGAAATGGCGACATCAGCATCCAGCAACAAAAGCGACAACAACAACAGCAACCAGCTCGACACGCATTTCCACGGCTAATTTTTCACGCACGCTCCAAAGCCCGTTTGTGCCCCCTTTCGAGGCACAACAAACGACAGCGAGCGACAGCTCCTGGCCAGGCTTTAGCTTGGTATGCTCCTTCAAATAAATGCGAAACTGGGTATACTCCAGATGTTGGCAGAGTTTGTAACGTGCACAGGAAACTCTTGATTTTTTATCATTTAGATTTTGTACGACTTTCAATAACTTTTATATCATTAATCAGCTGCGCTACGTTTCTAATGTAGCTTTAGAAACTTGAGAAATAATAAAAATACAAATACATAATATAACATGAGCTCGAATGGCATACCTTTTTATACCATTTATTTGAGTCTGCTGATATGGAGGGAATTGTATTCTAAATGGATGAGCTAAGGGCTGAGGTTTACGCCTAGCTATAGGGCTTATCAGTCTTGCAAATGTTATTGTAGCAAAATGTATTAAAAACATATAAATATATATTTAAACATACACTATAATTTATATCT